CTGCAAAAGATGCTGGCACCAGCCGCCCTGGCATCCAGCCTGTGCTGTCCCTGGGTGCTGCACTTCACTCCCCAGCCTTGTGGAGGGCTGGGCTTACCTTCTGACCTCAGGGAACCAAACGGCAACGTTTCTGTCGTCTCTGTGATCACATCCTGCGGTCTGTCTGCCCCATCAACATGCCCCTTCTCATCTTTTATTTTATGGAACATTTCCTGTGAGATTCTGCCAAAGACCTGCTTGTTTCCGTTACTTTGATTTTCTTTTAAGGAAAGCAAAATTTATGGAAATCAAACTGGTTTTGACACAGGAGCCATAACAAATCAAACTTTCCATTCCTGAGTAAGTATAAATAATCGGTTCTGACGCATGCCTCTGACGTGACCCACAGCAGCTGTCGTGCAGGAGGACACGGGTGGCAGGTCTCAAACACGAGTGCGCAACTTTTACCCGAAGAGTGGAGTCAGTGCGGAAACTGGGACCTCTGGAAATTTCTTTTTGAGAAATTTCATTTCCTCTAAGCTTAGTGAATATTACTTAATTTTAGTGTTCCCTCGGCCCAGGTGCTCACTGCAAAACAGGGAGCATCAGCCTGAGATTTTCAGTTAACCCGTAATCCTTGCCAGGGGGCGTCAGGATGGCAGTGTCTTGACCAGAACTGTGCAGGACGGCTTCCTTTGTTCTGTGGCTACAGGAGTGCCTTGTGGTGTCGCTTTGCCAAAGACAACCACGGCTCCAAGTGCCACTCGGGAGGGCTTGTGGAATGGGTTCTGTGAAGTTGCTGCTGTCGTGGCCTGTGCCGTGAAGCTTGTGGCCTGACCTGAGAGCAGAGAGGATGTCCTTTAAACAGAAGCGTTTTTAAAGTTTTCCTGTCCCTACTTAATTCTCCCTGCCATCCTCTCCCTACTGCCCCGTCATCTCTAATCCCCAAATAATGGAGATGCGGGCTGCTGGCAGTAAACGGTGCCACAGGGCATCTCATTTCAGTTGTTGGCATCCTCGTGGAGGGACGCTGGGCTGATTAGTAGTGGCGGAGCAGCCTTGGGAAATCTGAAAATATACCAAAAGTCATTTTCCAGAAACTACCTCACATGCATACTTTCCTCCACTTGCTCCGGCTTTTTAGAGACCGAAATCCTAGTCTTTCTGCAAAATGAGTCCTCAGATTAAGGGAGATTTTTCTTTGATGAGCTATATGAAACACATGTCCATTGGCAGCCTACAGAGGTTGGTCCGTGGAGGATGCTAGGCACTAAAATCTATGGAAGATGGAAAGTTCTGGCCTAGAAAATGGATGAGAGACATTTGTTTAGAGGGTTTTTGTTTTGTTTTGTTTTGTTTTGAGTCTTGCTCTGTTGCCCAGGCTGGAGTGCAGCAGTGCAATTTTGGCTCACTGCAACCTCCGCCTCCTGGGTTCAAGCAATTCTCCTGCCTCAGCCTCCTGAGTAGCTGGGATTACCCGCATGAGCCACCACGCCCAGCTAATTTTTGTATTTTAGTAGAGACAGGGTTTCGCCATGCACGCTGGTCTCAAACTCCTGACCTCAAGTGATCCGCCTCCCTTAGCCTCCCAAAGTACTGGGATTATAGGCGTGAGCCACCGCGCCCAGCCCCAGCTCATGGTCTGGTTGTAGAGACAAAGACGTAGGCGATGGCAGTGGGGTTTTGGAAGCGTTGTGGCCAGTTGGTGGCTGGGGTATGCAGAGCAGGGCTGACAGGGCAGGGGAGGGGAGGCCCACCGGTGATGGAGTCAGGCCCAGCCCCAAAGCCCACACTCTCTCAGTGCTGAGACAGAGACAGAGACAGAGATGGACAGACACAGACAGACAGAGGGTCACTTTTCAGTGTTGTTCGCCCCTGTTGGCGACCCTCTGGCGCCTGCACCTGCCCCTTCCTTCTGTCTCTCAAAGGCAAAACGAAGAGCCTCGTTGGTGGGAGACACGCTACTCATATCTCCATAGTAGATACCCCGCACACAGTTGACTGTGTGGACAGCTTTTCTCGAGGCACACTCTCATTCTGCTCCCCCAAGCTGATTTGCATCCTGACTTCTCTGTCTCTAGGCCCACCTCTACCCACCCAGTGCACCAAACCGGAGAGGGTAGGATCATCCCAGCTCCCCGCAACTCCACTCCCACGTCCAGTGATGCAGCTTTGACTTCAGACTCCCCTCCTTTGCTTGGTTCCCACTGTCACTGTATCACTGCCACAGATTGGACCTCTTCATTGTCAGCTGGGCAATGACAAGCTGAGTCCTAAGTGGCCCCAGGCTCTCCTCTCTCTCACTGCGACCCAAGCACCACACTGCCACCAGCATTGTGCCCAGGAAGCAAATTAGATTACACCAGGGTCTTCCTTCCTTCCTTTCTCTTTTTCTTTCTTTCCCTCCCTCCCTCCCTCCCTTCCTTCCTTCCATTCTTCCTTCCTTCCTTCCTTTCTTCCTTCCCTCCTTCCTTTTTTTGGTGGGAGGACAGGGTCTCACTCCATCACCTAGGCTCGAGTACAATGGTATGATCATGCAGTCTTGACTTCTTAGGCTCAAGCAATCTTCTTACCTCGGCCTCCTGAATAGCCAGGACTACAGACACGTGCCATCACACCAGGGTCATTTTTATATTTTTTGTAGAGGTGGGGTGTTATGTTGTCCAGGCTTGGTCTTGAACTCCTTCCTTCAAGTGATCCTCCCACCTCAGCCTCCCAAGTAGCAGGGACTATAGGCTGGTGCTGGTGTGCCCAGCTGATGTTTTTTTCTTTTTTGTGGAGACAGGGTCTCGCTATATTGCTTGGGCTGCTCTCATGCCGTGGCCGAAAGGGGTCCTCTTGCCTTACCCTCCTCACAAAGTGCTGGGTACAAGTGTGAGCCACTGCACCCAGTGGACCGTGCCATTCTCAGTCTGAAATATCTCCAACAACTTCACATTGTGTAGAGAATAGAATCTGATTTTCTTAGCGTGGCATAGCAGGGTCTGCATCTTGCTTCATCTCGTCCTTCCATCATCTGCCGCAGCCACACGATCTCTCACTAGCGCCTAAATGCACCTCTTGGCTTTGCACACACTCCACCCTCTAAGCCCAGGCGAGAACATTGCCGACTTCCCAACCTAGGAAGCTCTTATGCAACCCACTAAACTCAGCTCAAATATTACCTCCTCTGTAAACATACTCCTTTATTTCTTTAGAAAGTCTAAATCATGCCTTCCTCTGTATTTATATCTTTGTAAGTCCTCTGGCCTTAGGTTTATATCTTTATATAAGTGCTCATCATAATATATTGAAATCATCCATATGTACATGTCTTCTGTCTGGATATTTCTCTTTCTGTCACCCAGGCTCTGTCATCCATATATACATGTTTCTGTCTGTTTTAGATAGAGACAGATAGATAGATGGATAGATAGATAAGATAAGCAGATAGATAGAGGCTGGAGTGCAGGGGCACAATTATAGCTCACCATGCTGAGTGCTCATTGGTTGTTCGTACCTTGTTACAGGAGTTCCCAACGGTCCTTTCATCTGTGTATATTGCCAGGGGCCTTTGGTAACCTGAAATTCCCTTACGGTGAGGCAGCAGGAAGCAGAGACACCCAGCAGAGACAGAACCCTGGGGCTCTCTCCTTTATCTTTGGTCATAATTGTCCAACTTCAAAATAAATACTGCAACACCACTAGTCACCAGGGTTATCATTCTATCAAAGGGGGTTTGATGTTGTCAGTTTAAGGGATTAAAATAAGTAACTTCCACACAAGAAATAGACAAGCAATACCAACCTGAGGACGAGAGCCAAGTACTGGGAAAGCTCAAATCACCTCCATCACCTTCGGAACCGCACTGCATTACTCAAAATTGAGAATGTTCTTGTGCCCAGAATGCTGAGATTCATGTCAATGAACTGATGTTAGGTTGTTCTGCAGGAAAACGTAGTAAATATTATCATTTATGGCATAGAAAAAAATATGTTTTCAGATGACTCTAGGCTAAAAGCAATGAAACAATAAAGAGAAAAAATGATCTTTTGACCCAGATCTAGATTGTTCTACCCTTAAAGTATTTAAGACGGTGATAAGCACATGTCTAAATTACCTGACTTCTCTAATAGTCAAATGGGAAAAAGAAATCAGACGGGAAAGGGATAAAGCCGAAGTTTTTAAAAAATTCATATTAGGAAAATTCGAAAGACATGAAATTTCATCTGAAATCAACCAGAGACTTGGATCCTGTTCTGCTTAAGTGAGTTTTACATAATGCAGCACAAATTAAATACGTTGCTGATAAAATGGACCCAAAGCTTCCTACTGAATTGTAGAAAACGAGCGTTCTATCATTGTCCCCACCATTGAAAAATAGGATTTTCATAAATCACACTATTTTCCTAATAACCCTAACTTCAAACAGTTCAATTTTTATTTAAAGGAAAGTAATTTCCCAAATGGCATTTAGTCAGAACAGGTGCTGTTCCATTGACAACTTTTAAACGGTTGGAATTAGCTTTGACATCTGGATGCCAGAGCTAATCAGGGGGCATTTTCTCTTTTTCTATCTGTACTCACTATCTAAAGCCCAGTTTACAACTTCTGAGTGTATTTTGTACCTCATTAAATGTTTTTGGCATCCTCTATAGCATATTGGCCAGTATGATTCATCCTTTCTTTGAGCACAATTAGCTGTGAAAACAGATCTTAGGACAGACTACCTCCCCCGCCCCAAAGGATTACTGAAGGTAGGAAATGCAGGTGATTATCAGAGTTTGCCTTTGATACAGACATCCTGCTCTGCCTTGGCCCTTTGAACTAACTTTGATATGCAATAATTAAGAGGGATTCAACCCCTGGAGGAGAAGCCGCATGGCCCTGCCTCTTCTCTCCTTCTATTGAGTCCTTGTTTTGAACTATTGATCAAACAGATTTGAAGGGATTTGTTGAAGCCTGTGTGGGGTAGGAGGAAGGAACAGAGCGGGGAGGAGGCATATCTGGTTATAAATAGTTTCAGGACGAACCTGCTGGTCAGACTTGGCTCAGCTGATTTCAAGCACCTTACTCAGACTAAGTTTTGCTTCTTTTTCAGAAAAGGCAGTGACAAACTGACGACGTGCTGAGCTGCCAGCTTGGTGGAAGCTCCGCTGTGGGTGGAGAGCAGCCTCGCTTCGGGGACGCACAGTGCTGGGACCCTCTGGGAGCCTGGGGATTGAAGGATGGTGGCAGCCGTCCTGCTGGGACTGAGCTGGCTCTGCTCTCCCCTGGGAGCTCTGGTCCTGGACTTCAACAACATCAGGAGCTCTGCCGATCTGCACGGGGCCCGGAAGGTAAGGCTGCTAGGGAAGGGCCCGAGGTACCGGGCTGCTGACAGCTGGGTGTTCTGTTTAGGCTTTAGTAAGTCATTTTGATTCATGTGTGAAATGTCTTACCTAGCAGGGAAATTGAATTGGTTTCGGATGTGGAGGGTACCCTGGTAAGACCCAGTGGCCTTAGCATGAACGTATGAAATAAACGCAGTGGCTTTATGCATCATTCGTTTGTAGGTCAGGGAATAAATGAACACTTTGGAAGCTCTGCTCTGTGCCAGCTCTTTTACATGTAATACCTCATTTACTCTTCCTCACAACTTGAGACAGGTGAAACATCCCCTAATTCCAGATGCGGAAATAAGACTCAGAGATGCTGAGGAGCTTACCCAAGCTCACACAGCCAGCAAACATGGGAGCAAGGATTTAAACGGAGGGCCGTGATGCATTGCCTTGTCACTAACTTCAAAGAGAGCTGTTTTAGGGATCGCTTTATATATGTGTATGTTATTATATATCTTATATATTACTATATATATCATATATACTATACCTACATTACATATCCATGTAAAAGCATCAACTGTTGACGGGAACAATTGATCTTCAGTATCTCTTTCTCTGTGTAAATGAGGCATCATTGAAAATCAAAGGACAGTTCACTTAGGGAAGGCTCTTCAAGTTAAATTTGATTCACTAGAGTGAAAAATCAAATAGGAATGCCACAAACATCAGTAATATGTTTAATTAAACTGCAGCCAGCTTCTAGAGTTAAGATCTATTGAGTATCTCGTAATCACCTGTTAAGACACACATAGGAAAACATTTTCTCCCATTTTCACAAAGAGCACAGGAAAATGAAATTCTGAGTTAAGAAAATTTTTCAAACTCAAATAGCCCTTGCAGCATCCAGGTCTCTCTCCAGGTGATCTGAGCTTCCCTTCGTGGGAGAAAACCATTTCCACTGAAAAATAAGATGCTGCCCAGGGTTTGTCACAGTGCCACTGTCATTTGGTTCCCTCCGCCTCCTGCCTTGAATAAAAAGTCATCTTCCATTGTGTTGGGTTTTCTAGCCTTGTGACAGCAGCTTCCCTCCACAGGACTCACAGTGCCTGTCTGACAGGGACTGCAATACCAGAAAGTTCTGCCTCCAGCCCCGCGATGAGATGCCGTTCTGTGCTACGTGTCGTGGGTTGCGGAGGAGGTGCCAGCGAGATGCCATGTGCTGCCCCGGGACATTCTGCATGAATGGTGAGTGACCGTAATGCCGACAGTGGTTTTTAAACCAAAGGCAGTGTCTAAGCCGTATGGACAAGAATATTCCAGGGCAGGCACTCTCTAACGGCGTTTCCTAGATTCATGCTTGAAGTAAATTTATGCAGCTGCCTTTCTCTTCCTTTCTCTTTTCTTTTTCTTTCTTTGGTTTTTTTTTTTTTTTTTTTTTTTTTTGAGACAGAGTCTTGCTCTTGTTGCCCAGACTGGAGTGCAATGGCATGATCTTGGCTAACTGCAACGTCTGCCTCCTGGGTTCAAGACATTCTCCTGCCTCAGCCTCTGGAAAAACTGGGATTACAGGTGTGCACCACCATGCCCAGCTAATTTTTGTATTTTTAGTAGAGATGGGATTTTGCCATGTTGGTCAGGCTAATCTCGAACCCCTGGCCTCAGGTGATCCACCCACCTCAGCCTCACAAAGTGCTGAGATTATAGGTGTGAACCACCGCGCCTGGCCTGCCTTTTCTTAATGAAACAGAATAATTTATTTCCCGGCAACAGCTCTTGCTAATGACTTGGAGATAATGATTTTGAAGAAAAGATTCAAGTTGGAATCATTCAAATACTTTCATTTCCACTTGGATTCTATTAGCTCCTTTTATTGGAATCCGATTTCCATTTAGCTACCTTCTCTGCCATATGTGAGCATGCAAATATTTAGTTCATGTCCCAGAAATCTAGAAAGTTATATATAAACTGAAGGCAGACGTGCTGCCAAACCAAGTAACGGTAGGCTAATGAGCATGGCTGTGGTTCTCCTTCTTGAAGTTAGTAATTCCAGTTACACCTGGTTGTCTCTCAGATGTTTGTACTACAATGGAAGATGCAACCCCAATATTGGAAAGACAGCCCGAGGAACAAGATGGCACAGATGCAGAAGAAACAACTGGGCACCCAGTTCAGGAAAACCAACCCAAGAGGAAGCCAAGTATTAAGAAATCACAGGGCAGGAAGGGTAAGAGCAGCATTCTGAGCACATTTTATTTCAGAAATGCGTTTTCTCCTCTCAGCCTCTTAAGGATAGGCTGACTGACTTTATTATTCTCCAGCAAAGAAACACTTAGGCAGCATGTGCTGTTGTAATCTCTTTCCATAAGAAGCTGTGGGGGTCACATAGAGAGTGGCCTAAGGTAATCTGCAGGTTGAGAGAACAAGGGAATGGCCAGTAACAATAAATCAATTCCGTTGGGTAGGGGTGGAATTGCCATTGCATTACTCCTTTTAGCCTAAGACCTAGCTCTGTGAGACCTGCATGCTGTGTCTATTTTCACTTTGTGGCCGTCAGTCGTAGGTCCCATCCCCTTATCCCAGTAGCAGTGCCCGGGCAGGCCACTTTTCCCGTTTATCACTGAAGCCCACATTAACCTTGTTACAGGACAAGAGGGAGAAAGTTGTCTGAGAACTTTTGACTGTGGCCCTGGACTTTGCTGTGCTCGTCATTTTTGGACGAAAATCTGTAAGCCAGTCCTTTTGGAGGGACAGGTCTGCTCCAGGAGAGGGCATAAAGACACTGCTCAAGCTCCAGAAATCTTCCAGCGTTGCGACTGTGGTCCTGGACTACTGTGTCGAAGCCAACCGGCCAGCAATGGGCAGCATGCACGGTTAAGAGTATGCCAAAAAATCGAAAAGCTGTAAATATCTCAACATGAAGAAGAATCCTCATTGCATTCGGGCTCAGTCTTGGACATGAACTTTCAAATGCCTCCATACTGATTTCTCCTGAAATCAAATCTTGCAGCAAGCAAAATAGCCTGAAACTAGAGAACTGAGATGATGGCCCTGTGACGAATGAGACTAGCATTAGCTTTTTGTCTGTTTTTCCAGAAAACCAATGAGATTCTGTAATAAAAAAAAAAAAAAAATTATTTCTCATCTAGAGACTCAATTAATTCAAATCTCTGAGAATTGAAATTGTATATATTTAAGGTATACAGCGTGATGTCTGGAAATACATATACTATAGTTGAGCTACAGCTCTCTCTCCAAATAAATCTTTAAGCAATTTCTGGTAAAGGCTGGTGCCTGACAGTATCCTAGGGGGGAAAAGTGATGGCATCTGAAGTTAAAAGTAAATTAATTCTTTTATCTTACCAGGGAAAATTACCACAGCAAATACTGTATTTTTTCTTAAAAACCCTATTGTTTATTTCCATTCATTTCTTGGAAAGGAAATGGCATTTCACTACAAAATAATTTGGTTAATAAAGAAGTTTCAAAAAGTATTATCTTATGTCTGTATAGTCCTTTGCAAGTTATAAAGCATTTTTACATGTTTTCGGGAGCTTTACTTACCATTTGATAACTTTTTATATTTATATAATTTTAATATTTGAAAGGCAGGGCTTCCAAGGAGTGTTACTTATGCATTTTGGCCACTTGCACTTAAAAGTTAGCCCAGAGGAAAAGTCAGGCAAAAAAGTGAAATTTTTCTATTAAGGCTTTTAAGGCTAGATTTTTGTGCTTAGGAAAGCTCTTTCTAGTGAATTTCAAGCAAGTGCTACAGATTCCATTTCAGAGATAAACCATATATCTGTTTTTCTATTCAGATTATAAGTATATATTACAAGATCAATGATATGGTTTGGACGTTTGTCCCCTCTCTATCTCATGTCGAAATGTGACCTCCAGGGTTGGAGGTGGGGCGTGGTGGGAGGTGACTAGACCATGGGGGTGGATTCCTCACAAATGGCTCAGCACCATCCTCTTGGTGATAAGTGAGTTTAGTTCACACAAGATCTGATTGTTTCAGAGGGTGTGGCACCTCCTCTCTCTCATTCCTGCTTTCGCCATGTGAAGTGCCTGCTCCTGCTTCATCTCCCACCACGAGCAAAAACTTCCTGAGGCCTCCCAAGAAGCTTAGCAGATGCCAGTGCCATGCTTCCTATAGTCTACAGAACCACGAGCCAATTAAACCTTTTCCTTCTTTTTTTTTTTGAGACAGAGTCTCACTCTGTCCCAGGTTGGAGTGCAATGGTGCAATCTCGGCTCACTGCAACCTCTGCCTCCCGGGTTCAAGGAATTCTCCTGCCTCAGTCTAACAAGTAGCTGGGATTACAGGTGTGTGCCACCACGCCCAGCTAATTTTTGTATTTTTAGTAGAGACAGGGTTTCACCATATTGGCCAGGCTGGTCTTGAACTCCTGACCTCATGGTCCACTGGACTCAGCCTCCCAAAGTGCTAGGATTACAGGCAAGAGCCACCACGCCTGGCCAATTAAACCTTTTTGTTTCATAAACTACCCAGTCTCCAGTATTCTTTTATAGCAATGAGAGAATGGACTAATACAACCAAATATGGGCCCAACAAAAAATTACACTTACAAAGGTCCCTAGTTACTGTATTTTTCTTTGAGATGGAGTCTCACTCTGTCAACAAGGCTGGAGTGTAGTGGTGCGATCTCAGCTCACTGCAACCTCCACCTCCAAATTCAAGCAATTTTCCCACCTCAGACTTCTAAGTAGCTGGGATTATAGACATGTGCCACCACTCCCAGCTAGTTTTCGTATTTTTGGTAGAAATGGGGTTTCACCATGTTGGCCAGGCTGGTCTCCAACTGCTGACCTCAGGCTATCTGCCTGCCCCAGCCACCCAAAGTACTGGGATTACAGGCATGAGCCACCGCACCTGGTTTCTAGAAAATACTGAACAATCTTCCCGAGGCTAGCTTCTGGTTGTACCTTAATTAACCAATTTGTGATCAGTAAGTAGGAGTAACATGGTTTACAGCATAGAGCAGAATGTGAGAAAATAAAAACTTCCATTCAAGATCTGCTATGATCTCATATTTCTCTCTACCAAACCCATAGTCAAGTATGATCATGAATATGAAAATTTAAACATATTTGCTAAATAAGAACATCATCATCCAGTAACAGTACAAGAGATTTTATTGACTACATTGCAAGCTAAAGCATGAAGAAGAAACGATCATTTAAAAACACCAAAGACCCTTACATAGCAAAGGTTAAGAAATAAATTAAGACTCCTATTGGGCTTTGTCTGCCAGGGAAGCTACAGGCCTCATTCGCTCCGGTCCTTGGGTTCTCGGTATTTCCACTGGATGTAATCAAAGATGTCTTTCTCACTATCCACTGGCAGTGGTTCTCCAGCAACTCCTGCAAGTACAGAGGGAAGAAACTTACTGGAAGTACCAGTTTTGTAATTTAGTTATAGAGGGGTTCAGGATTAAGAGCTGTGTGGGACGGGCCAGGCGCGGTGGCTCACGCCTGTAAACCTAGCACTTTGGGAGGCTGAGGTGGGTGGATCACGAGGTCAAGAGATCAAGACAATCGTGGCCGACATGGTGAAACCCTGTCTCAACTAAAAATACAAAAATTAGCCGGACGTGGTGGCACATGTCTGTGGTCCCAGCTACTCGGGAGGCTGAGGCGGAAGAATCACTTGAACCCAGCAGGCAGAGGTTGCAGTGAGCCAAGATTGGCCACTGCACTCCAGTCTGGCAATAGAGCAAGACTCTGTCTGGGAAAAAAAAAAAAAAAAAAAAAAAAAAAAGAGTTGTGTGGGATTTGCTTTCAGAAGAAAAAAGAAAATGGTAACCAAGTCAAAAAAAAAAAAAGACACTGGCCGGGCATGGTGGCTCACACCTGTAATCCCAGCACTTTAGGAGGCCAAGGCAGATGGATCACCTGAGGTCAGGAGTGTGAGACCAGCTTGACCAAAACGGAGAAACCCCATCTCTACTAAAAATACAAAATTAGTGGGCACGGTAGCGCATGCCTGTAATCCCAGCTACTCAGGAGGCTGAGGCAGGAGAACTGCTTGAACCCAGGAGGCGGAGGTTGTGGTGAGCTGAGATTGCGCCACTGCACTCCAGCCTGGGTAACAACAGTGAAACTCCGTCTCAAAAAAAGACACTGACCACGTCCGTCCTCTCCCAGGAGCCTGTGCTGAACCTTTGTCTCGTGTGTCACCAGTGCCACAAAGGGAAACTGGGGATCCCAGCTAGGGTCACTCAAGTCATCCTGACTCATAATTATCCTCTCTGCTGGAGCCACTATGTATTATATAAAATAGTCTAGTGAGTTCTTTTGCAACTCAGTTCTTGAACTAGCAGCACTGGCATTATCTAGAACAAGTTTATCCAGACCACGGCCCACACGTGGCCCAGCATGACTTTGAATATGGCCTAACACAAATTCGTAAACTTTCTTAAAACATGATGAGATGTTTTTGTGATTTTTTTTAAAAAAAGCTCATCAGCTATCGTGTTAGTGTATTTTATGTGTGGCCCAAGACAATTTTCTTCCAATGTGGCCCAGGGAAGCCAAAATATTGGAAACCCTTGATCTAGAAGCTTACTAGAAATGCAGAATTCTGAGCCCCACTGCAAGCCCAAGGAATTAGAATCCGAATTTAGTGAGGTCCCCGTGTTACTGGTATGCAAAGTTAATTGTGAGAAGTACTGCTCTTGTTTACCAGAGATGAAAGCCTTATTTTACACTTTGAGGACAAAATGACAAAAATTCATTCTCCTATAGTAAACCACACGGTATACTGTGAAATGTTAACAGGACCCATTAAGCACAGATTCTTTGAAAATTCTTTAAAAGCATGGGGCCAAAGATATTGTGAATGCAAAGTGTGTGGCACTGAAAACAATGATACTTGAGTTCTACACTAACTGGCCCAGAAACTACACTAACTGGCATAGTTACTAGAAGGCTTTTAGGGGAACTACATTTGCTAAACCAAAGTATCTTTGAAAATAACCTTCTCTCCAGATGAGAGATGATCTCTAATACAGACATGGATACTCACCAGTGACTCCCAAGGGACGGATGGTATACTCATTGATTGTGAAGCCCTTTTCTAGGGCATAAGCCCTCATATTCTTATTGAAAATATCACTTCCAGTGAAATAGAGAACACCACAGTAATACTGATCTTTGGGTATCAACCTAAAAAAAATGGACAGTAGATACATTTTTTTTACTATGCTTTTCGAGTTTAGCAAACACAGGACTCCTAAAATTAACAAGGAACAAAATACCTAAAATAAGCCTAAGTGGTCTAATAACTTGGAGAAGTCTATCATTAGGTAGGCTGCTCAAATCACTTCAACCTTGTAATTTGTTTAGGTTTCAGTAAACTTTGTTTTGAAAGAGGTGTGGAGAAATGAAATTGCATTATCACTTATTACAACTAACTTAGCTCAGGCAGGAAATGACTTTTGAGCTGTGGAAGGCATCATGGTGAGGTGCCAATCTAGAGAAAATAAATCAGATTCTGTAGACAGTCGTTATTCTTTACATACTTTGGAGCTAAACATTGCATTTGGCAAGAACATATGGCTCTTGAGGCTAAAAAGAGGCTCTAGATATGAATCTAAACTCTAACATACAAACAGGGAGAAAACGAGACACGTTGGGAAAAATTAACAGGTCAGCAACAAAGTCTGAACAATACCTGATATCAATTCTTCTGTGTGGATATTCCTTTTCATCATTTTTACTGGGAAGTTGGCAAACACCCTAAAATGAATATTTTAAATCATGTTTAAAGATTTTCTAAACTTAAGGCTTAATTTTAATCAAGTAAAACGCAAGGTCATTTTTGTTTTTAGTGTTGGCAGCTCTAGAATTCCGAGCACTTTTAACTTAGCAGCTTCTGTGAGCAATACACTATCACCACCTGTCTATTACACTTCATGAAAATTAGAGAACTACACAAAACGCAAACAAGGATTCTCATTATGAGGATTTGGCCTTTGCATGATTCTAAACAAGAAACTCATCAAAGAAAACACTGAAGATGAAACACAGAGATCAAGATAAACAGAAGACAGCAACGTGGAAGAAACAATCATTATGCAGGAAGAAGAAAACAAAAAACAGCTACCAGTCATAGTCTCAGATAACCAGAGATACTCTATTCATGAAATAACAGAATACTACAGAAATCCCTTGGGGAAAGGTTTAACTCAAAATTTAAAATGATACGTAGCAGAAGTAAAAGAGTTTGAAATTAAAGACATCTCTCAGACACTACAAGGGAGAAAGACATGGAAAATAAGAAAAAAAAAAAAAAATAAGAAAATGAGAGGATCACTTTCTTCCTTCTCCATAGGTGAGTTTGCATTATATGTCTACAATTTTCAAATAAAAGTTATCCAAGTCTGTTTTATCTTTTCCCGTTCCAGAAAGACGGGCAAAAAAATCTGGACTGGTCAGTAACCCATACATACGTAAAACGAGCTATAAACACCACCAAATTTCCAATTAAAAGTGTCAAATGCTACATTCTAAGAAAAATACACAAGTGACAGGCTTCTGGTCCCCAAGAGTGGTCAAGTTAACACACATGCCACTAAAAGTCATACTTTTTCACTCAGTAAAATAGGAAAATTAAAATCTAAACTAATTCTTTAGCTGTTCTTATGCAAGAAAGATTAATGAAACACATTTACCTTCAAAATATGAAACCGACCTTCTTAGGCACTAACAAGTTCCAACTCAACTTCTACCTTCAAGTGGATCAGAAGTCATTTCCACCTGGAATTACCAGGAGGTATTACCTTGCGGATGCGGATGTCTAGATGCCACAGGGAATGATCTCGTTGTTTGTCACATCAGTAATAGGATTTTATCTCATGGCTTTGTTTCTTTCCTCAAGGCTAATTTTATTTCCTGCACTTTTTTTTGAAGTGCTAACGTTAAAGAATTTCTCTGTTTTACTGTAAATTCTTTATTAGATTGAGTGGATTAGCTTTGTTTGGCATTTCATTTGGGCAGCTTCATGCTGAGTATCTGAAATAAAGCCTCTTTCATTTCCTTGGGGTAGCCATGGTATCTCCTATTGTTCCTTGAACTCTTCCTGCAGATATTTCACAGAAAATCACCCAAGGCCAAACTTAACACAAAATACTGAAATTTGGAATGGCACTCACCTTATATAAAACCAACAGTTAAATGCAGAGGAAACTTTTTTTCTTTTGAATGTTTTTATATTCACAGGAAGACAGCTCAATTACCTAAAGACTGTGCCTGGTACATGACGACCTGGAGAAACCATGGCTTTCCTATGGTTTGATTACGATTAGCTTAAAGGAATGTGTGTCTTGAAGATAACTTGAAAAACACATGGATAGGCATACCTTTAAGACTAGTCAGTGGTGATAGCAAGAAGAGGTTTTGCAAAAAACGGGATATGGAATGAGAATGGTTTATTTCACTATGTAAGTTGAATTCATTTTGCAGCCAATTTCCTTTCAGAAGCCTAAAGCTCTTAGCTTCTTTGGATACCTTGCTCATGCTCATTTCCACAGGCTAGCTACCTCTTCCCTCAGATACCTGCTTAGCTAACTCCGTCTGTCTTTTTCTAAGTCTCATGTTCTCAATGAGGCTGCCTCCAACCACATTATTCAATACTGACTCCTGCACTCCCCTCTTCACTACATTCTGTTCTTCCTTTTTTTTTTTTTTTTTTGATCTCGGCTCACCGCAACCTCCGCCTCCTGGGTTCAGGCAATTCTCCTGCCTCAGCCTCCTGAGTAGCTGGGATTACAGGCACATGCCACCACGCCCAGCTAATTTTTTGTATTTTTAGTAGAGACAGGGTTTCACCATGCTGACCGGGATGGTCTCAATCTCTTGACCTCGTGATCCACCCGCCTCGGCCTCCCAAAATGCTGGGATTACAGGCGTGAGCCACTGCACCCGGCCGGGTGTTCTTCCTTTTTAAAAAATACCACCACCCTAACCTATAATTCACATATTTATGTTCACTGTTAACTATCAGTCCCTTCCCATAATCCTCAAATATGAGTTTTACTTAAATTCATGGATACATCCCAAGCTTTGAGAACAGTGCCTGGAATGTAGGAGATGCTTGTACGGATTTGCTGAGGTGACTGAATACAACCTCCCGCCCTGGGGAAGCTCACTTTCCTCATTTCGTTCTCCTTTCATGTTGCGATCCTCTCTCTCTATCCCTTCTTCTGTGTCCCAACCTAATCCTTATCAGGTCACCTTCCTCTCCAGATCCAGTTCCACACAGATGGTATCTTACATTTGTGCAGCTCTTTGTGCAACTCTTAGAAGATCCAGTATCTCTGAAATTGTGCAACTGATTTGTACATCAAATATTTGTACAAATTCCTCAAAGTTTCCACATATATTATTTAACTTTTATCTGCACAATGGTCTTCTGATGCAGGGCAAATATCAATTTTAAAGGTAAAACTCAGGCCTTCTAGAAGTAAATCCACCTCCCCAATGCCACACAGTAATGGAGCCAGAAGAAGACCCCCATCTTCTGTATCCAAATCTATTTTTCTACAATGAAAGATACAAATCACCTCTTAACTGTCTCCAAAACTGACCTGAAAGTTGACCTAGAGTGCTTCTCTTCCTAACAATGATTACAAATGTCAAAATAGCACACTCAAATATGGTATTTTTTAAGTTCCAGGGAATAAAAACCACAGGTATAACATCCAAACTTTGTCAAAAACCACCTGCTAAGATGGATTCCTATGTGGCAACATAAAGGTCTTAGTTTCTTGTTCTTATTGTCACCCGAGTCTTCTATACTTTGAAAACAAATAAACAAAGGCAGTCTTCTTGTTTTTAACCTGTTTTCTTCTGGAAATATGTCTGGGGGATGCCTTTCCTGGCAATATCTCTAGATGTGCTGCCAGATATATGACTGAAAGACTGGAAGGCAAGATAGGGAGGGCATGGTTCCTACAATCCCAGCTCTATCCTACAGTGAGTGGGTGGCTTAGTCTTTTCTGTGGCACATGTACAGTGAGATCTGAACTGCCCTAATGTCTAGCAGTCACTGGCATTTGGCTGCCCTTGCACTTCCCAGGCAAAGGGTTTCCTTTCTTTGATTGAGCAACTACTGGGATAATCCAAGTCCACCACTATCAACAAGATCACACAGACTTGGCTACCCACCTTTCCTTTTCAGGTTATACCCAGTCCACTAGCTTATACTTCTTCCTTTGTTTTTGTTTTGTTTTGTTTTGTTTTGTTTTGTTTTTGAGAGGGAGTCTTTGTTTTGTCGCCTAGGCTGTATGGAGCATGGTAGCAAGATCTCAGCTCACTGCAACCACTGACTTTCACAGAGATGATACTGGAGGAAGAGATTTAGGCCAGAGAGGTCCAAAGAACATGCCCAGACATAGCAAGACACTTTTCTACTGTGCAAACCATCCAACTTGTCTAGTAGATATTGTTTTTAGGATTTCATCTGACTGAATATTCCTTAAATTTAAGATTCATGCACATTCATTTTGAGTGAATTAAAATCCATCTAAATATGAAAAGGCTGTTCATGGGGCATACACAAGCCTTATTTTTAATACCATCTCATGTATGTATATACTTTTGGGCACAGAGTAAGACTACAAAACCTGACAGAGTCAAGAGAACAAATCAGAGATTTAATTTCCAAAGACTGACTAGAACCTTTACTTTACTTTAATCTTTCCAAAGTTCATTTGGAAGCATTGTTAAAGTGTGACCAGCTTAGAAAATACACTTTCACAGCCTACTAATATCACCATGTTGAACTTAATGGTATGATTTTGTGTACATGTGTGGGTTAAATATACACAACACACACTTTACCATCTAATTTTTTTTTTTTTTTTTTTTTGAGATGAGGTCTTGCTCTGTCACCCACGCTAGAGTGCAGTGGTGCAATGGCTCACTATAACCTCGAACTCCTAGGCTCAAGCCATTCTCCCACCTTGGCCTCCCAAGTCCCTGGGATGTGAGCCACTGGGGCTGACTGCTATTTTAACCATTTTTAAATATACCATTCTGTGGCATTAAGTACATTCACATTGTTGTACAACCATCACCACCATCCATCTCCAGAACTTGTCATCCTCCCCAACTGAAACTCTGTGTCATTTAAACACCAACTCCCTATTACCCTCTCCTTCCAGGCCCCGGCAAACACCCCTCTACTTTCTGAACGACATGATAATTTAATTATCTTTCTCAACTATATTCTATTTTTGGCTAAAAGTCTTGTCAAACCTATGCACTCAGACTTAGTAATTGCAGCATGTCCACTCTTCAAAAGCACAGTCTTTTTCCTTTCAGTCATATAACCGAAGAAAAGTAGAACGTGGAGAAAAATGGACTCAAATGAAGTATATAAGTGACCAGAACACTTAACGACACCTTAAAAAAAGACGTAAGAGGCCGGGCACAGTGGCTCATGCATGTAATCCTAGTACTTTGGGAGGCCAAGAAGGGTGGATCACTTGAGCTGAGGAGTGTAAGACCAGTCTGAGCAATATGGTGAAACCCCATCTCTACAAAAAATACAAAAATTAGCTGGGCATGGTGGTGCGCACCTGTAGTCCCAGCTACTCAGGAGGATGAGGTGAGAAGATTGCTTGAACCCCAGAGGCTGAGGCTGCAGTAAGCTATGTTTTCACCACTGTGCTACAGCTTAGGTGACAGGGAAAGACCTTGTCTCCAAAAAAAAAAGTAGTAAGAATCTTAATTCTAGGCTGGGCATGGTGACTCATGCCTGTGATCCCAGCATTTTGAGAGGCCACGGCAGGCAGATCACCTGAGGTCAGGAGTTCGAGACCAGCCTGGCCAACACAGTGAAACCTGGTTTCTAATAAAAATTAAAAAATTAGCTGGGCGTGGTAGCAGGAGCCTGAAATCCTGCTACTCCAGAGGCTGAGACAGGAGACTCACTGGAACCTGGGTGGCAGAGGTTGCAGTAAGCTGAGATCACCCCGCTACACTCAGGCCTGGGTGATGAGAATGAAACTCCATCTCAAAACAAATAAACAAAATCTTAATTTTAGATTTCTATCTGCCTTCCTGTTAGTGTTCATATAGGACCATTTATTAATCTGTTTTTAATCTACTAGCCATTCATCTTGAATTATTAAGTCTTAATTCCTCCCTAATCAACTTCCCTGATTATCATTCCATGTAACATGTTTCTTCCCCTGAGTATTTTATCACAGACCCTGATGACTTTTCTTTCTTTGGTGTTGAAATAGATTAATACTTTTCATGATGACTTTTCTTTCTTTGGTGTTGAAATAGATTAATACTTTTCAATCAATTCTAACTTAACTTACTGAAGAATTCCGAGTCAGAGAATATGAGAACCATTTGCTATTTTAGGGAAAAACTTACTTTGTGTCAAAGTCATTACCGATACTTTCAAAAAGCAGATTATGCCTAATTAACTATTATGATAACATAGGTTATTTACAAGTGGAGAATTAAAAGAAAATTCTTTCCTAAAATATTCTGAGTAGTTATGAAAATCAGGCATACTGCTCATGATTTTTCTTTCAGGTCTCATGGATAGTCTATTTGTTGACTGTAATTCAAAGCTACCATGAGGTCATACACTCAGAAGGGTTACTGAACAGTCTCCAAGGTTTTTTCAGATGTGCTAACTCTAACAAGTACTTACCATGAACTTTGTCTCACCCTTCGACAGGGTATCTGTGATAAAATGAACTTTTTGTAACTGCTCCACAACTTGATGTAATAATTTTGGCTGTAGAATCATAATTAGGGAATAAGAAAAAGAGTAATTACTTTGTAACGGCAAAAAACATTTAACAATATTTTTAGAGACAGAGTCTTGTTATATTGCACAGGATGGAGACTGTGCTATTCACAGGTACAGTCATGGCAAACTATAGCCTTGAATTCCTGGACCTAAGTGATCCTCCCACCTCAGCATCCAGAGTACCAGAAACAACATCTTGCCTGGCTAAGAAAACTTTTTTTTTTTTTTTTTTTTTTCAGGGAATCGAACCTGGCAAGAAAACATGTATTTTTATTTATTTATTTATTTAAAGATGGGGTTTCACCTTGGTTAGGCTGGTCTGGAACTCCCAACCTCAGGTGATCCACCCACCTTGGCCTCCAAAGTGCTTGGATTACAGGCTTGAGCCACTGCGCCCAGCCGAAAACATTTTTAAAATGAGTTTTCTAATTATTTGTGGAGAAATCTCTATGTTTTTAATGTTCTGACCAAGTACCTTTTCCCTCTAATAGAAAATTCATCTTATCAAATAAAACACATTTTTAGAAACCACTGTTTAAGGTACTATGATTGTTAAAACAATTATTGTGTTTATCTGTTTCCTTAAATCAAAGAGTTTTGCTGTTCTTGAAATGGCTCATGGGAAAAAAATTAATTAAAGAGTCAGCTGTTTCATCTTTCAAAGGCATATGTTCTCAAATAAAAAATGTTTTGCCTTCGCAGGTTTTCTAATAGAAGTAAGGTTTCTCAATATTCCATTTTTTAAGAGAAAATATTCCTTTAATGCAAACCTGATTATAGTACTTCTAAAGTATTTATGACAGACAGTAAATCATTCTAAAACTATTATATCAAACATCATCTCTTTCGGCTGGGCATGGTGGCTCACGCCTGTAATCCCAGCACTTTGAGAGGCTGAGGCAGGCAGATCACAAGGTCAGGAGTTTGAGACCAGCCTGGCCAATATGGTAAAACCCTGTTTCTACCAAAAAATACAAAAATTAGCTGGGCATAGTGGTAGGCGCCTATAGTCCCAGCTACTCAGGAAGCTGAGGCAAGAGAATTGCTTGAACCCAGGAGGCAGAGGTTGCAGTGAGCCGACATTGTGCCACTGCACTCCAGCCTGGGAAACACAGTGAGAATCCATCTCAAAAAAAAAAAAATGTCATCTCTTTCAAATGTCAGACTGTCCTTTGAGCTCCTCATGGAAGAACAATAGGTATCCCTTTTGAGAACTTCGCCTTTCACAGAATTCAATCAGTACAAAGCTCTTCAGCAGATTTTTCAGGAAGGCGAAAACAAAACTTATTCTGAAAATATGCAACTATCATTTAAAAAGTGAAAAACAGCGCTGTGTAAGACTGATTGCATTGATTATAAACTGAGGCACCTGTTTGGTTGATTCTGAAGTGAAGCTTGGATGGGTCAGGAGAACATCCATGTCACCACTGGACTCTGCACCTGTGATGACAGAAAACACATATGAGATTGTCCACATAAATGTATCAGTTGGGCAAATGGAACCAAGCTGATGACACACACAGAAAAGCCTTACTTCTTACAGCCTAACTTTCTATTTCACTGTGCTTCACAGTCAGAATTAGTTAAAAGATTTCAATTTTCTGTCCAACTATTCAGGTGTATTGATGCAGACAGCAGAATCTGTGATGACAACAGTAATCGGCATTAGATATACATTGCATACAAAGGGTTAATTTAATGTGTTAAAAATGCACCTAAGTAACTACTCACTAATGAATTAAAGCAATACTTTAAAAAACACCTATGAACAATCCTATTTGTAAAAATCTCAAATTAAACAATATACCCTAACTCTACAAAGGATAATCAGAAAACACATTTTGGCCGGGCACGGTGACTCATGCCTGTAATCTTAGCACTTTGGGAGGCTGAGGTCAGAGGATCACTGAGCCCAAGAGTTCGAGACCAACCAAGTCAACACAGAGAGACCCAGGTTCTTTCTCTCTCTCTCTCTTTTTTTTTTAAAGAAAACTCCTTTCGATTCTTATAACTGAACTCAATTAATAAATGTTATTACTATTACGGTATCATGGATACACAGCACTTTATAATGATTTAGGTTTTGGTCTTGATCTATACTCTACAACCACATAGCTTTAGGCAAGTTATATACAGCTATTTAAACCTTTCTTTTACTACATTCTATGAAATTATGCCTCCACTTAGATGGAATTTTTTCATTTTACTTTCTTTTTTTCAGTGTTGCAAATGAGGACTCTTCATTCCTCTAGACCTCAGTTTCCTTATATGTAAACTACTAAAAACTACTTCATATGCTATTGTGTAAGTAAGTAAGAACATATGTAAAAACATCGACTATTGTGCCTGGCATATAGCATAAAATAATCCAATCTCTCTCCTCGCTTTCGTTTTGGTTAAGTACAACAATATAGGCCAAACATACTTTTGGTGACTAAAGATCTTGCAGTGTCTTTGTGATCCTCGCACTTTTGGCCTCCCAAAATGCTGAGATTAAAAGCATGAGCCACAGCACCTTAACCAAATATTTAAATATAAAGACTAGGCCGGGCACAGTAGCTCATTGCCTGTAGTCCTAGCACTTTGGGAGGCCAAAGTTGGTGGATCACTTGAGGTCAGGCGTTCAAGACCAGCCTGGACAACATGGTGAAACTCCTTTACTACTAAAAAAACAAATACAAAAATTAGCTTGGTATTGTGGTGCATGCCTGTAATTTCAGCTACTCAGGAGGTTGAGGCAGAAGAATTGCTTGAACCCAGGAGGCGGAGGTTGCAGTGAGCCAAAACCGCACCACCATACTCCAGCCTGGGTAACAGAACGAAACTCCATCTCAAAAAATAAGAACAAGACTAGACTCAGTGTGTACTGGACATACATGGAAGCTATTTTAATAAAGAAAAATTATATTGTCTTCTCTTCATCTCACTTCCTTCTCCTAAAAGCTGCATGTCTTTCACCATCCACCAACAAAAATGTTTCACTTTATTTAAAAAAATCAAACACAAACTGTTTGAGCAAAAGAAGAGAAACAACCCAAGAGTCCATTAATAGGGGACTAAATAAATAAATGAGTATGATACATGTATACAATTGAATGTTATGCAGCTACAAAAAAAAAAAATAAGGGGCCGGGAGCGGTGGCTCATGGCTGTAATCTCAGTACGTTGGGAGGCTGATATGGGGAGTTCGAGACCAGCCCAGGCAACATACTGAAACCACATCTCTACCAAAAATAAAAAAAATTAGCCCGGGATGGTGGCATATGCCTGTGGTCCCAGCTACTCTGGAGGCTTAAGAGGGAGGAACACTTCAGCCCAGGAGGCATAGGTTGCGGTGAGCCGAGATCACGCCACTATACTCCAGCCTGGGCAACAGAGCGAGACCCCATCTCAAAAAAATAAATAAGGAATTTTTCTATATATTGATATGGAAAAATCTCCAGGAAATATATATATATATATATATATATATATATATATATATATTTTTTTTTTTTTTTTTTTTTTTGAGACGGAGTTTCACTCTTGTTACCCAGGCTGGAGTGCAATGGCACGATCTCGGCTCACCGCAACCTCCGCCTCCTGGGTTCAAGCAATTCTCCTGCCTCAGCCTCCTGAGTAGCTGGGATTACAGGCACGTGCCACCATGCCCAGCTAATTTTTTTTTATTTTTTTATTTTTAGTAGAGACGGGGTTTCACCATGTTGACGAGGATGGTCTCGATCTCTCGACCTCGTGATCCACCCGCCTCGGCCTCCCAAAGTGCTGGGATTACAGGCTTGAGCCACTGTGCCCGGCCTCCAGGATATATTTTTAAGTGAAAATGGCAAAGTATAGTATTGTATATATATTATGTTACTTTATGAAAGAAAGGGAGGAGAATGAAGTCAAGATGGTATACTAACATTCAGTTGTATTTTCATGAAGAAACATTGCAAGAATCCACAGGAAGGTGGTTCTTAATGGGACAGTAGTAGGGGGGTGCATAGAGAAAGTGAGACACAGTACAGCTTTTTATATGAAAGCATGTAACCATACAATATACCACAAAAAAGTAAAAATAAAATAGAAATAAATAAATCCAGGAAGGTTGTCATAGCCAACAGAACATGCATTTGGCTTGCTGTGCCTCCAAATCTACATTCTGAAAATACAGAATCCCAGCTCCCACCCAAGGAGATTCTTATTTAGTAGATTTGTAGCAGGCTAAAACGTGTATTTTTTTCTTTTTGTTTAAGTCCTAGGTATTTCTGATGCAGACATACTTGAACAACTGGATAACTTCATTTCTCTCATTTTGCAAGTATGGAATCCAAGACCAGGAGAGACATAATACTGGTAGATTTGGCCTCAGACCCCAGGTCTTTTGACCCCAGTCCAACATTCTTTCTATTGATCAGTGAGTATGGATTAGGTTTTCACTCTCCAACTCTAGATTCTTGCAGCAGCTACCCGGAGTATTTCTGATAGGCCGTCATCTACTTCCCAGACAAAACTCCATAGGTGGCCAAAGATTCAGTTCAGGTATCTACTCTGAAATGTTTTAAATAAGGTCCTTCTACTCCAATTTTAAAAGTTAGTATTTTTAAGCATATATGAGCTTTTCAAAATTTTAAACCAGCAAGACACCAGGATTGTGTGGTTCTTAGTTTGCTCACATTCACATAGTAAGTAGAATAGAACTCTTCTGAAGAACTTGGTTGTTATAAGAACTGGTTTTGAATTGGTACTTCTAAGACATCATTCTTAGCTCTATTACAGAAAACTTGGGCAGGTGGGCGTGGTGGCTCACACCTGTAATCCCAGTACTTTGGGAGGCCAAGGTGGGTGAATCACAAGGTCAAGAGATGGAGACCATCCTGGCCAGCATGGCGAAACCCCATTTCTACTAAAAATACAAAAATTAGCTGGGCGTGGTGGTGCACGTCTATAGTCCCAGCTACTTGGGAGGTTGAGGCAAGAGAATCTCTTGAACTCAGAAGGTGGAGGTTGTAGTGAGCCAAGATCACACCACTGCACTCTAGCCTGGTGACAGGGTGAGACTCTGTCTCAAAAAAAAAAAAAAAAAAGAAAAAACCAACTTGGAAAATAAGGTAAATAAACAAAACTGCCCACAACTTCACAATTATCTAGCTAGACAACCATTACTAGCATTTCAATATACTTAAATCCATTTAATAAATTTTGTTATAACTAGTCATTAAGATATCATTCTGTAATAAAATCAGGATGAATTTCCCCTAGCTACATATTCCCATCTACAAATAAATACCCTTAACTAATGGGTCTTAGTGAGTCTATAAAGTACCACAAATTACATCTTTTTAATCCAAGTTCTTAACATACATTAGGCAATTTTAACATCAGGGCATAAATAACCCAAGATTAGGAAGCAGGTTACCTCTTCTGAAACTGCCACAGACCGTAGCAATGTATTCAGAATCCACTTTTTTAACTTCATTTAGTACAATATCCTAATAGAAGAAAAATTAAGTCAGTATTCCGAAAATGGCTTTTCACCAAGTGACACTCTCAATTCTAATCAAAGAATATAATTTGACACATCTTACTTGCATTTGTAACATCTCTTCACGAGGAATTCTTTTTTCAAAGTCTCCAAAATATCTATAAAGACAGAATAAGTAGACAAAAGATTTTTGTAAAATCTATTCAGTGCTGGCTATGCAGCAGGTCTTTTTTTTTTTTTGAGACTGAGTCTTGCTCTGTTACCTAGGCTAGAGTGCAATAGTGCAATCTTGGCTCACTGCAACCTCCACTTTCCGGGTTCAAGAGATTCTCCTGCCTCAGCCTCCCAAGTAACTGGGATTACAGGTGCATGCCACCACACTCAGCTAATTTTTGTATTTTTAGTAGACACAGGGTTTCACCATTTTGGTCAGGCTGGTCTCAAACTCCTGACCTTGTGATCTGCCCACCTCAAAGTGCTTCTCAAAGTGCTGGGATTACAGGTGTGAGCCACCACACCCAGCTGATTTTTGTAAAATTTAAATCTCCTTAAAAATTAAATTGCCTCAGCCGGGTGCGGTAGCTCACACCCGTAGTCCCAGCACTTTGGGAGGCCAAGGCAGGCGGATCACGAGATCAGGAGATCGAGACCATCCTGGCTAACCTTGTCTCTACTAAAAATACAAAATTTAGCTGGGCATGGTGGCATGCGCCTGTAGTCCCAGCTACTTGGGAGGCTGAGGCAAGAGAATCACTTGAACCTGGTAGGCAGAGGTTGCCGTGAGCCAAGATTGTTCCATTGCACTCCAGCCTGGGTGACAGAGTGAGACTCTGTCTCAAAAAAAAAAAAAATAAATAATAATAATAAAAAAATTGCCTCTTATAACAATTGTTCATGTCATACCAGCAGATCATTCTCATGAATCAAAGCTAGAATGAATTCACTGAGACTATAACAGCAAAATTGGGGGTAGGGTAAATGGGGAAAGGTTTATTCCTAAATTGGATCAAAATCCTTAAGTGTCATTCTTTGTAATATTCCAAAGACCCCATCTAAACTCATTTGTAAATAAGCTACATATTCATGTAACAAGTAAATAGTAAATAAATATATTTAAGTTAGGGCATATTTTCAAAGTAGACTGCTCTCTACTGACAAGGCAAGGGGTTACGATTTACCACTCTTACATCCTGCAAAATTCTATTTTCAAATACTATCTTGCAACATGGATGAACTCAGGCAACAATATGCTTAGTGAAAGAAGTCGGTCACAAAAGACACATATTGTATGACTTCATTTACATTCAGTGCCCAGAATAGGCAAATCTGTAGAAACGAAAGTAGATGAGTAGTCGCCCAGGTCTCAGGTGCGGGTACGGGAAGCGATGGCGGAATGACTAGTAATAGGTACAGGGTTCTTTTTGAGATAATAAAAATATCCTAAAACTGACTGTAGTGATGGTTGCACAACTCTGTGAATATACTAAAAGTCACTGAATTGTATATTTTAGGAGTTGCACAAAATACTAAAAGTCACTGAATTGTATATTTTAAATGGATAGATTATAGGACATATGAATTACTAAAGGTCATTGGATTGTATATTTTAAATAAATGATTATCGGATATATGAATTACATCTCAATAAGGCTGTTAGACAAGTATTAACTAAGTTTGAAACAACGTCTAAGCATATGCTTCAGCATGATGAAGCGCTTGTTCAGACAAGTCTTAACCAAACCAGTTCTTCAGAAGACCTCCATTTACTACAGAAATGCCAGGAAAGCAAGAACCATACCATCCTGGTCTCTTTCTGGCTCAAGATTTTGGAATGGTAGTATAAGTTTAAAATACTATGGTAGGTTGGGTGTGGTGGCTGACGCCTGTAATCCCAACATGCTGGGAGGCTGAGGTGGGCGGATCAACGGGTCAGGAGATCAAGACCAGCCTGACTAACATGGTGAAACCCCATCTCCACTAAAAATACAAAAATTAGCTGGGCGTGGTGGCACGTGCCTGTAATCCCAGCTACTCAGGAGGCTGAGGCAGGAGAGTCACTTGAACCTGGGGGGCAGAGGTTGCAGTGAGCCAAGATCATGCCACTGCACTCCAACCTGGGCAACAGAGTGAGATTCCATCTCAAAAAAAAAAAAAAAAAAAAAAAAAAAAAAAAAATTATGATAAAGCATCAATAGGAAAATTCAAAAGGTTATTAGGACTGAATCACCAACAACACTATAAAATGCCAGAAGAGATACATAGAGTGCTCATGTATTGTAACTATAAATAATTAGAAAGCAGGTTCCCAAACTGTATCTGGCATACAAAACAATTATTGATGCTGATATAGAAACATGCCTAATAGTTATTCCTGTATAGTTATTTAGGTGGGAGGTTTTTCTTTTTTTTAAATTTAGTTTTTCACAGTCATGTCCTATCTTCAGGTGGATTATAAACTCCTTAAAATCTACACTGAACCTCTCTGTATCTTTACCCCAGACCTAGTGCAGTGCTTTGTACAATGTGAGCATGAAATAAACACCTGCTGACTGGCTGATACCCTCAGTCCTCGATACTTTAAAAGGAAGTTCCCTGTTACAGCAAAATAAATAAATAAATAAATAAATAAATAAATAAATAAGAGAAATCCTTAAAACAAGTAAACTAGAAAGCAAAAGCGAAAGCACTGTGAACACAGGCAGATACTCCAAAAAATTCCACAAATCTTAGCACTTCTGAATAGAAAAATGGTTTGGTTTATCTAAGTTAGAAGAGTCCTTGTGGTGTATAAAAGAATATCTATAAACATTTTACTTTTATATCTCAAGAATCAAAAGAAAATTTGCTGTCTTACTTCAGCCCAATTCGCTGATGATGGTTCAATTTGTCTTCGTTTTTTCTGAGATCTGTATAGAAGATAAATAAAGTTGACATGTTAATTCAAATGCTTTTGGGGGAAAATGCTAAACTCAATGACCCTTTTTTACAAAGAACCACCTGGGGAACAAATACACCGAAATGTCTGAAAACACAATGAGACAAAAATTTCAGATATGAAGAGCTAGATAAAAGTGACTCTTCAGGCCGGGCGCGGTGGCTCAAGCCTGTAATCCCAGCATTTTGGGAGGCCGAGGCGGGTGGATCACGAGGTCGAGAGATCGAGACCATCCTGGTCAACATGGTGAAAACCCGTCTCTACTAAAAATACAAAAAATTAGCTGGGCATGGTGGCACGAGCCTGTAATCGCAGCTACTCAGTAGGCTGAGGCAGGAGAATCGCCTGAACCCAGGAGGCGGAGGTTGCGGTGAGCCGAGATCGCGCCATTGCACTCCAGCCTGGGTAACAAGAGCGAAACTCCGTCTCGGGAAAAAAAAAAAAAAAAAAAAAAAATGCCATCATTTAGGCCGGGCGCGGTGGATCAAGCCTGTAATCCCAGCACTTTGGGAGGCCGAGGCGGGTGGGTCACAAGGTCAAGAGATCGAGACCATCTTGGTCAACATGGTGAAACCCCGTCTCTACTAAAAATACAAAAAAAATAGCTGGGCATGGTGGTGCGTGCCTGTAATCCCAGCTACTTAGGAGGCTGAGGCAGGAGAATTGCCTGAACCTAGGAGACGGAGGTTGCGGTGAGCCGAGATCGCGCCATTGCACTCCAGCCTGGGTAACAAGAGTGAAACTCCGTCTCAAAAAAAAAAAAAAAAAAAAAAGTGACTCTTCAAATCAATGTAGTAAAACCTAAAGGCTGATTTCATGGTCCTTTTTATTTACTGAACAAAATTTTAACTAGCGTTACATAACAAAATAGTAGATAAAACATAATAGAATCAGGCCAGGCACAACAGCTCACGCCGGTAATCCCAGCACTTTGGGAGGCTGAGGTAGGTGGATCGCCTGAGGTCAGGAGTTCGAGACCAGCCTGGCCAACATGGTGAAACCCCGTCTCTACTAAAAACGCAAAAAATTAGCCAGGTGTGGTGGTGCGCCCCTGTAATCCCAGCTACTCGGGAGGCTGGGACAAGAAAATCACTTGAATCTGGGAGGCAGAAACTGCAGTGAGCCAAGATCATGCCATTGTACTCCAGCCTGGGTGACAGAGTGAGACGTCATCTCAAAAAAACAAAAACAAAAACAAACAAACAAAAAATAATCACATCAAACTTTACTGACTATAGCAAAAAACAACCTTATAAGAATCAATATGGTTTAATTTATTGTTAAGAGCAGTAACCATAACTTCTAAATATTTTCTGATTAACTAGGTTTATTTATATTGTTCATTTGTTCATGCACCCGTTCATTCCATTAGTACTGAGTACTAGATTTGTGCAGTCATTGTGCTAAAAATCCTGTTGAAAGGAAAACTATTACTATATCTTCATTTTTTTAACTTAAAAATTGTCAGAACATCCCATATTAAGTCTAAAAAGTGACTCGGTTCCATTCAGGTGTTCCTTTACTGGGCATGAGTCCAGCTGGGAGCCTCATTAAAGAAATAGCAAGGGGGAAGCGCGAGGAGGAAAAAAAAAAAAATAGCAAAGATAAGCATGCTTCAAAAGCAATGTCTATAAGCTCCCTTATATTCACAAATACACATATTCCCTCTGGAGATATAAATTGCAGAAAAATAAGCATCTTCATGAAACATAAAGCAATTGATATTTCCTATGGTTCTATGCACACAGAAAACACTAAAGTATATGACTAAACCTGAAGTGGAAATACTGAGTGTATTATATAGATATATATATAGTTACAGATATCAATAGTTGTATTACCTATCAGTGAATTATGAAATATAAAAACCGCAACAGTAGATCCTTGACACTCCCAAAAGATGCAACTCAATACCTCCAAGAAACCCATAGATTCGTGACCCCTTTAGCCAATCATTTCTCTCATGATTGCAGCTGTCTACACCACAAGCAGCAAAGTATAAACCCTCTAGAGATACATATGTAGAGTTCATTCTCCAGCAATGTGGCTCACACAAATTCTTAACTTAGTACTATTACTAATCATGCCACATAAGAGTTGGTTACCATTTCTAAGTAGTACTTACTACGTACCAAGAGCTCTGCTAACTGCTTTACATGTATTATTGCATTTAATCATATGAAGCGCAAATACCCATTCTGTAGGTGTGAAACTGAAGCAACACGGTCATCCCACTCTAATAAAGTAGTGGAGGTGGGATTCAAAGCCAGGTCAGTCTCCAAAACCTGTCTACCTAAACATTGGGCTGCCTGCAAATAGCTGAACTCACAAATACTGAATCCCAAATGCTGTGGATTCGCTGTAATGAATTTGTATGTCTACATACACCCACAAAAAGCATGAAGAGTTGCTAAAGGATTTTACATGGAATTACGTGTAAAGGATTGCTATAGGAAAATATTTTATAATTACTTGTTAAGGCTCTATTTTTATCACTTCTTTGAAAGCAAAAATTTCTTTAATAACCATTACATTCATGCCTGTAATCCCAGCACTTTGGAAGGCCAAGGCAGAGGGATTGCCTGAGCTCAGGAGTTCCCAACCAGCCTGGGCAACATGGTGAAACCAGTCTCTACTAAAATACAAAAAAAAATTAGTCGGGTTGTGGTAGTGAGTGCCAGTAGTCCCAGCTACTTGGGAGGCTGAGGCAGGAGAAGTGCTTGAACCCGGGAGGTGGAGGCTGCAGTGAGCCAAGATTGCACCTCTGCACTCCAGCCTAGGTGACAGAGCAAAACTCCATCTCAAAAAAATTTTAAAAAGTTTAAAAAATTACGAATACACATCTCTTACAGAATCTTTCTCAATAACATATAACAGCTTTTAATCTGATGTAAGATTTTATTGCCTAAAATTTTATTAAAGAAACAAAGGCAATTTATATATTTGAAAAATCAGCAGATGATAACTATTTCATTGCTTTTAAGCCAAGAGGTTGGTTGTTGTTCATCTTCTTCTTCTTTATTTTTTTTTGAGATGGAGTTGCACTCCAGCCTATGCGACAGGGTAAGACTCTGCCTCCAGGGTTCAAGCAATTCTCCTGCCTCAGCCTCCCAAGTAGCTGGGATTGCAGGCACCCACCATGCCTGGCTAATTTTGCATTTTTAGTAGAGACGCGGTTTCACCATGTTGGCCAGGCTGGTCATGAACTCCTCACCTCAAGTGATCTGCCCACCGCAACCTCCCAAAGTGCTGGGATTACAGGCTTCAGCCACCATGCTTGGCACTGGGTCTTGGTCTTCTTAGTTTTCTCTGAGTTATTTACAAACCTAAAAATGTTTATGATGGTTATATAAACTATACCCTATATCTATTCTACTAGAGAGTTAAAAAGAAAATCTTATCATTTGTATCTACTGATTGAGAATGTGTTTTTCAAGTTGAAGTTTGTTAGAGTGTTAATGGTCCTTCTGGAATTAATGATCTACAGTCATACTCACCTTCTAGTGTTTTAATTCCTTCATCTACAAACTTCCTTGCAGCAGATGGACTACAAAAAGAGAAGCATTATCTTAATATTGGGGGAAACTTGGGATACTTGTAACAACCATGTCTTAATTGTAAGAACAGTTGCTATTAAGCTAAACAAGACCTGCTAAAATGTTGCATGGCTACTTTGGTAATATTCAACTTTATCCAAAGTATTAATTCTTGAAACTTCAATTTTTAGGAAGACAACTATGAACTCACACATGAAAAAGATGTCTAAGCAGCTGCTGTCATAGGGCTCATGTATGGACGGCATTTGAAAACTGTTCATTCATTGAACTAAGATTTACTGAGGGCCACTATGTGCCACATAGTCTCCTGGGCACTGAAAATATAGCAGGAATAAGAATGTAAGTGGGTAGATAGAGACAACAGATACACAAACAAGAATAATATTAGGTGGATAAATTAAAATCGGATGATATAACAGTGTGGCTGTCCTACTTTAGACTGCGTGGTAGAAGGTCTTTGAGATGATATCTAAGCTGAGGTCTGAATTACTAAAGAGCCAGCTACACAGGGGATCAATGGGAAAAACATTTCAGGCAACGGAAACAATTAGTGCAAGGGCCTAAGGCTGGCATGAGCTTGGCCTATTCAAGAGAAGAGAAGGCCGGGCGCGGTGGCTCAAGCCTGTAATCCCAGCACTTTGGGAGGCCGAGGCGGGTGGATCACGAGGTCAAGAGATCGAGACCATCCTGGTCAACATGGTGAAACCCCGTCTCTACTAAAAATACAAAAAATCAGCTGGGCATGGTGGCACGTGCCTGTAATCCCAGCTACTCAGGAGGCTGAGGCAGGAGAATTGCCTGAACCCGGGAGGCGGAGGTTGTGGTGAGGCGAGATCGCGCCATTGCACTCCAGCCTCGGTAACAAGAAGCGAAACTCTGTCTCAACAACAACAACAACAAAAAAAAAAAAAAAAAAAAGAGAAGAGAAAAACTAGGATGCATAGATTTAAGTGATGGTATGAGGAGCTATGGAGCAGTAGACAGGTGTTACATTCTACTGTGCTGTTGGAACTGTAGCGGTAGGTTTGGATTTTATTGAGTGCAATGGAAAGCTATTAGAGGACACTGCACCAAGCAATGATAAAATCTGATTTAGGTTTCTTAAAGATCACTTTGTTCATATAAATAAATCAGAACGTCAGAAATAATTGAAGATATAGGAGGGGGGCACAAGGAACTTTAGCGATTAGCCCAACTTCTCTCTCATTTCATAAGGAAGGACACTGAAACCTAGAAAGATATTGCGACTTGCTAAGGTTACAAATAAAGCTGGTGGTAGCATTGGGACCAGTACCCAGATTTCCTGACTCTCTTCTCACTGTATCAGTTTACAGCATAATAAAGCAGGATCAAGGAACAGAAAGAAAAGCATACACACATATATAAATACACAAGCACAATAGTCTAAGTGTTTCGGGACAAATAAACCTCTATCATTCAGAAAGCTATGCAAACGCCACTGCATTGTGATACAGAAACTGATACTGATGTCAGGAAGACAAAGCAGCATAGAAAAAACAAAACTGAACTGGGAGTCAGAAGATATGAGTTCAAATCTGGCTCTGCCATGGTTACTCATATTCTATGTTCAACTTTCAGTTCTCTCGCCTAGAAAAAAAAGGATAATGGATGCTCTGTAAAACATCTAGCTTTTCACACCTATAATCCCAGCACTTCTGGGAGGCCGAAGTGGGAGGACTGCTTGAGGCCAGGAGTTCAAGACCAGCCTAGGTAATATAGAGAGACCTCTTCTCTACAAAAAAAAATACAAAAATTGGCCACACATGGTGGTGCAAGCCTGCAGTCTCAGCTACTTGAAAGAGTACTAAGGCGGGAGAGTCACTTTACCCCAAAAGTTCAAGGTTATAGTGAACTATAACAGCACCACTGCACTCTAGCCTGTATGACAGAAGGCTATCTCCAGGAAGAAAAAAAATTTTTTTTTAATTCTTATAATAAAAATTGTATAATGGCCTTTAGTCCCCAAGGAGTCATGCTCATTTTTTCTGTTTTTTGTTTTTTTGTTTTTTTTGTTTTTTTTTTTTTTCAGATGGAATTTCACTCTTTCACCCTGGCTGGAATGTAGTGGCACGATCTTGGCTCACTGCAACCTTTGCCTTCTGGTTTTGAGCGAGTCTTCTGCCTCAGCCTCCTGAGTAGCAGGGATTACACGCTCTTGCCACCACGCCTGTCTGATTTTTGTATTTTTAGTAGAGACTAGGTTTCCCATATTGGCCTGGCTGGTCTCAAACTCTTGACCTTGTAATCCGTGCTCAGCTTGGCCTCCCAAAGTGCTGGGATTACAGGCGTGAACCACCGCGCCCGGCCATCATTTTCAATATACTAGGTTTAAGAATTTAGTATGTTGACTGGGTGCAGTGGCTCATGCCTGTAATCCCAGCACTTTGGGAGGCTGAGACGGACAGATTACCTGAGGTCAGGGGTTCGAGACCAGCCTGACCAACATGGAGAAACTCTGTCTCTACTAAAAATACAAAAAATTAGCTGGGTGTGGTGGCACATGCTGGTAATCCCAGCTACTTGGGAGACTGAGACAGGAGAATCACTTGAACCTAGGAGGTAGAGGTTGCGGTGACCTGAGATTGCACCATTGCACTCCAGCCTGGGCAACAAGAGCAAAATACCGTCTCAAAATATATATATATATGTTTAGAATAACTTTCGTGAAAATGCTGCCACTTAAAGAACGAATCATTATATTCAAAGGAATGCACCATTCCATAAAGATGAGAGCACTACAGTCTTAATATTTCAATGTTAATCTTTACTTCAGCCAGTGTCAAAAAAGGCCCCCTTGGTGCTAACTCAAATTTTAAGATAGTAATCTCTTCATTATAAAACGTTTGAAGCCAGGCAAGGTGGTGTGCACCTATAATCCAAGCTACTTGGGAGGCTGAGGAGGAAGAATCACTTGAGCCCATGAGTTTGAGACCAGCAAGGGTGACATAGCGACCCTGTCTCAATAAAAAATAATAAAATATAAAAAGCTTGAGGGCTTGTCCCAATTTCATGAGGTGCTATGATAAACATGCTAAGAGAAATGAAAGAGGCCAAGCTGGAGCAGGCAACAGATGCACACAGAGCAAGCGGCAGCCCAGTTTAGAGGAAGGAGAGGTTCTCGGGGCTGGGGAATCAAACTGGTTTCATGAAGGAGGTAACATATCCCTTGGATGGGGCTTTTACAGTAGAAAGCATTGTCTGAAGAACTGACCTCAGATCATAAGCTATGGAAGGATGAACCGTATGGCTAAGGTACAGAGGTGGAGAAGTACAGGTTTTGAGAAATAGCATGTAAAGCATGTAATTTACTTGGCTAACATGAAAAATAAAACCAACCAATGACTGTGTCTGCTTAAAAAACAGTTCTTACCCAATGCCACTAACTCGAGTCAGGAAATTGATGGATGAACTCGTATCATCTTGCCGAATCTTTAAGAAAAAAAAGTCTAACTATAATTCTTTGAGGACTTAAATGATCTTATTGGAAACATACCAGTGTGCTAAAAGACATGAAGGACCATCTACATTTGCCTGGATGATCCACACAAAGTTATTCACAGGTAACCTAGGGAGTTATAGGTGAATAAGAGTAACTGAAGATGTCTCTTCTCTAATTTATCCAGTACTTTTAAAAAGGTCTATTCATAACAGATCAGAAGTGATATAATTATATCATAGGGGTGAAATAAAACCATAAAAATGCTTGGGAGAGTTTTTATGCATAGAAAATCCTAAAAGATAATAATCTTTTAGTTAAAGTTTATAATCTCTTTTCTGAATAGTACTGAAAATGATGAACTAACACTCTCTTGAATGCCACATAAAACAAGTGGACATTTTATAGAACCATATTCAAAATTTTAAAGATAGAAGAGTTAAAGCCATCGACTCCACTCATCTCTTTTCTTGTGAGTCTCACTAGAGTGAGTGGCATCAGTCACCCTGCAATGATGTTACATAGTGGTCATAAAGGCAGACACTATAATCAATGAAGTAAACAAGTTAAAATTTTACCTTTTCCAGTTTACGTAATTTTCCAGTTGCTAAAAACTCATCAATTTTTTCAGCAATTTTTGTTCCTACTCCAGGCTACATGGAAAATTAGAAATATAACAGACATATGAATATAATGCTTACCAAATCACTAAAAGATAAAAGTAAAAAGCAGAAAATGAAAAAGAAATGAATATCACATGACAAGGTTTGAAATAATGAACATGGAAAACTGAACCCCAGTAAAAATTAAATTCTCCCAGAGACAGAATCCTACATGACTGGCAAAAGGGAAACCCTAACAAAATAATTATAAATATCTCTTATTTATTTAAAATTAACTTTTGTTGTAGAAAAATTAGAAAATACAGAGTTACATAAAGAAGAGTATTCACTTGTCAGTTTCATTATCCTGAAATGTCAAATTATCTGTAACCTCATTCCCCAACATTTGGTATATATTACTTGACATCTTTTCTGCTTATATATATAGGCAGAATTAGATGTGTGATGTACATACTTTGTTCTTAATACATCGTGAGCAAATTTCCATACCAATAAATAAATACAATAGTATCTTTAACAGATGCACAGTATATCATTGTATAAATACATAATAATTTAATTAGCAAATACCCTACAGGTAAACATGCAGATTGTTTCCAATTATTTGACAGTATAACAATATTCATAAATTTCCTTTAGAACAGAGGTTGTCAAGCTTCTGCATACATTAGCATCACATGGTAGAACTTGTTAATAACAACACAGAATGTCAAGTCCCACCCGAGAGTTTCTCATTCACCACGTCTAGGGCAGGGCCAAGAATATGCCTAAGTTCTCAGGGGATGCTTGATGCTGCTGGTCCAGACACTTTATTCTAAGAATCACTGCTCTGGAACTGCACATTCCAACATAGTATACTAGCTACATATGACAATTTAAGTTTGGATTGATTACAATTTAAAATTCCATTCTTCAGTCATGACATCCATATTTCAAGAACTCAATGGCCAAATGTGGCTCATGGTTGCTGTATTGGGCAGCACTTCTCTAGAATCTAAGTTCTAGGAGAGCAGAGATCTTGTCTTTTCACTGCTTTATCCCTAGTAACTGACATAGAAGTGATCAAAAATTATGAACGAATGAATCCTAGTAGATACATATCTCTTATTAGTTTCCTTAGGAAAAATACTTCAAAGTGGAATTGCTAGGTCAAAGGATACATACATTTTGACAAAGCAGACTTCGGAAAGGCTGTAACAACCAACACTTTCATGGGCAGCAAATGAGTATCCTTTTTTACACAGCTTTCTCCACATTGCCTGTATTTGATGGGCACTATAGAGTGTCTTGTTTACTTTGCAACTTTGGTATTTGTAAAACTGAACTTTCTAAAATGTGTACTGGTCCTTTTTAGTTAAACTTCTTGCTTACTAATAGGTGTGCCAGTATTTCCTACTGCCTCTTAGACCTAAGTTCACTCATTTATATTCTTGAACGTTTAATAAATGTCCCCAAATTACTGAAAGCATATTTGAGCTTGGAAAAAAAGCAATTACCAGATAGAAATGAACAAAAGATTTAGGAAGCAGAACAGATTAGAAAAAAGAAACTGCTCAGGCTCATTTCCTGTATCAGAAGATTCTTTTAAAAGGCAATTATTTTTCCCTTTACAGGTAGTGCTACAATAATTTTACTCAATAACATACTGACTTCAAGCAATTCAGGCCCAAGCTACTTTCTATATATAACATTAAGGAAGAAAAGGCAAAGTAGTCATTCTGAAAATTTCAGTTTTCTAGAATTACTGAGAAGTAATAGATTAGATAATCTAAGAAGAAAGAATCTATTATTTCTATTACTAAGAAGTAATAATCTAGAATAATTCCTAGAATTACTGAGACGTTACTTTCCTTAGGAAAAATACGTCAAAATTACTGAGAAGTAATTCTAGAAATGGGCTAGGTAGATCTGTGATTCTTTTTTTTTTTTTTTTCGAGACAGAGTCTCACTCTGTCGCCAGGCACAAGGCTGCAGTGCAGTGGCGCAATCTCGGCTCACTGCAACCTCTGCCTCCCAGGTTCAAGCAATTCTCCTGCCTCAGCCTCCCAAGTAGCTGGGACTACAAGTGCACACCACCATGCCCAGCTAATTTTTGTATTTTTTTAGTAGAGACGGGGTTTCACCATATTGGCCAGAATGGTGTTCATCTCTTGACCTCGTGATCCGCCTGCCTCGGCCTCCCAAAATGCTGGGATTACAGGCGTGAGCCACCACGCCCGGCCAGATCTGTGATTCTTAAAATAATTGTGAAAAGGAATAATGATGAGATTTTTACATTATTCCCAGTCTTATGCAGAAGGAATTTTGGATACTTTTGTATTCTTTATATGCTCAGATTTGAAATGAAGTGTTTCAGAGCTTATCAGGAGTTTTTCTCTATGAAATAAGCAGGCTATTTGCAACAAACATAAAAAAGGAAGTACTGTATGAATAAAAGAGGAAGTTAATGGAAGCAGGAGTGGTTCCTGAGAGTAACAATGGGTCAGTTCACCAAGACAGAAACTCAGAATTAAAGTCCAATGTATTTATAACTTATTTACTTAGTTTATTTCAGGAGGATATATTGATGCTGAGAACTGTCTATGCCACAAGGATTTAAAGTCTATATATCAGAGCGTGATTTGTACTGAGTAACAAAGTCAAAGTTAAGATGTGGCATGTTGAATGTGGACAATTTGCCACTAAATCATAAGATGTACAAGATTTTGGTAATGTTACGACTCTAAAGGGCAAAAATATAAGGGCAATTACGGGCCAGCACTTTGGGTAGCTGAGGCAAGAGGATTGCTTGAGCCCAAGAGTTTAAGACTAGCCTAGGCAACATAAGGAGATCCAATTTCTACAAAAGAAATTTTTTAAAAAACCATCAGAGTGTGGTGGTGTACACCTATAGTCCCAGATACTCAGGAGCCTGAGGTGGGAGGATTTGTTGGGACTGGGGGGTCAAGGCTGCAGCAGTGAGCTGTGATTGTGCCACCACTGCACTCCAGCCTGAGTGACAGTGAGATTCTGTCTCAAAAAAAAAAAAAAAAAGGACAATTATGGCTCATCTCCTGAGAAGCTTAAAGATAATCATATATTAATATTTAAATTCCAGAGGACATTTGTGAAACATTAATAGGTAAAGAACAAAAAGAAGTGATAACTATCAAGACCTGGACTAATCAAAAGCCATGTCAGGCCAGGTGCAGAGTGGCTCACACCTATAATCCCTGCACTTTGGGAGGCTCAAGGCAGTGGATCATCTGAGGTCAGGAGTTGGAGACCAGCCTGGACAACATCGTGAAACCCTGTCTCTACTAAAAATACAAAAATTAGCCAGGCATGGTGGTACACACCTGTATTCCCAGCTACCTGGGAGGCTGAGGCAGGAGAATCACTTGAACCCTGGAGGCAGAGGTTGCAGTGACCCAAGATTGCACCACTGCACTCTAGGCTGGGTGACAGAGTGAGACTATGTCCCCACCCCACCAAAAAAAAAAAAAGCCATGTTAATTTGGCATCCTTCACACTCAAGTAGAAATTCAATGTGAGTACATGTATATATTGTAACAGAGAGAAAGAAAACTGTAATTACATATATTTTTAAAAATTTTAACCCATCTTCTCCCAAATAAAAACATTTTGAGATTGAAACAGTTTGTATGAAACAGCATATTATTCCAAGAAATCAGGGGCAGCAAAATCAGCCTGTGCAGGTCAAGGCCACTTCAGACAGGCAAGTTTGGTTTGCTGGGAACCCATCAAATTCGTACACCTGCAAACTCTTCAATCAACATGCTAACTAAACTTACCAATTTCTTAGCTTCAGCTCCACTCTTTATTTTATATGGGTATTTTGCTATAACAGATGCTGCTTTTCTATGAGGAAAGAAAAAAAGGAAAACCAATTAGAAATCCAGCGGGGCCTTAATTTTTTGTAAACTGGAATATACATACAAGCAAATATCTATGCTTATGCTTTCACCAAGATAACTAATTTTCTACCACCATATAAAACTTTTAACTCAGATGAGCTGACAGACTACTTACTATATGTCTAACTTTTACAATATCTTGAAAAGCCCCACATTTGAGAATAAATGAATTTAAACCCTACACATCAACGTATGATTTGTACTGAGTAATTAAGTGATTTGTTTTGATTTGTACTGAGCAACAAAGTGATTTTAACTGTATAAACAATACTAAAGGAATGGGGAGACCAACTGTCTTTTTTTCTTTAGGAGTAAGTAGAAAATATCATTGGCCCCTTTTTAAAATAGCCGGTTTTTAGAAATTGTTCATAACTCCCTCATAAAAATGTGCCACATCTGAATTACTAGATACCAGATCTTCTTATGGATAGCTATTTTATTTTATTTTTTGAGACAGAGTCTTGTTCTGTCGCCCAGGCTGGAGTGCAGTGGTGCAATCTAGACTCAGCCTCCACCTCCCGGCTTCAAGCCAACCTCCTGCCTTAACCTCCTGAGTAGCTGGGATTACAGGTGTGTGCCACCACATTCAGCTAATTTTTCTATTTTTAGTAGAGATGGGTTTTCACCATGTAGGCAAGGCTGGTTTCCAAACCCTGACCTCAAATGACCCACCAGCCTTGGTCTCCCAAAGTGCTGGGATTACAAGCGTGAGCCACCATGCCCAGCCCTTGGATAGCTATTTTAAAATTCATAGTTTCAACTGTGTTCCTTATGTCCCTATATCAGTTTATTTATTTTTTTAATGGAGATGGGGTGTTGCTATGTTGCCCAGGCTGGTCTTGAACTCCTGGGCTCAAGCCATCAACTCGCCTTGGCCTCTCAAAGTGTTGGGATTACAGATGTGAGCCACCTTGCCTCGCCCCATAAGAGTTTAAAAAAACTGCTTCCATTTCAGTTCAGCATAAGACAGTGATGTGTAATTCTTGCCCGCCTCCACACATATCTAGTTTGTTAATCTGGGTGACAGACTGGATACACCCTGGGGGCTTGCCGAAGGTATTCTGTCTAAAATTTCAATGCAAAATGTAATTTAGAGTTGATGCTGATGAGAAGTGATAGTACAGCTAAGTCAAAAGCATAAATACTGGATAGTCTTTGGAACCTTGGATATTCATTCTATTATAGCACAAATAACCCTTTAGATTTGGATCTGAACTCTCTAAGCACATGACGGATGATGAGTCTGAAAAGACATATTTATAAGCAAAGGAGCAGGCAAGCACAGTTTATGCAGGGGATCATTTCAGGAAAGGCAAGGAGTTCCAGGTCATTGGTCCTGTGAGGCAAAGCCTAAAAGGGAAAAAGAATCAGATGAAAGCCCTTTTGTATGCTATGATGTATTTGGGTTTTATCAAGGTAAAGAGAAAACTTTATTTAATTATTTAATATGGGAGAATGACAAGATCAGATAACTATTTTCAAAAGAATACTTTGGCCGCAATAAAGAGAAATGTCTATTGAGGTAGGGAGGAGCATGCAGGGGTGGTAGGGAATTACCTGCTTTTCCAGACTTATTTTCCACTCACACCATACCCCTTAAGCAAACTGAGTTTCTGACTTCTAGAAAACTTTATGCCCCTTTGGAGGCCAAGGCGGGCGGATCACCTGAGGTTGAGAGTTCAAGACCAGCCTGACCAACATGGTGAAACCCCGTCTAAAAAAAAAAAAAAAAAAAGTTATACCCTTCATGTTTCAATGCCTTCGCACATTTTATTTGTCTACACTGATGGTCCTCTCACTCCCTCATGAGCTTCTTCAAAACTAAACACCTCCTTTCTGAGGCCTGCTGTGATTCAAATAGAATACAAAGTTGAATATTAGTATGATTTTAAATCAGCAAATATATGGATGATAATACAATTATTTTACTTTACATAGGAAGTCACAGAAGTAAGGAAAGGAGGGAGCACAATCAGCTCTGAACTGTGTGGAATGGGAATGGAAGAAGTGAGCTGACTTGGGATAGACAATATAGGGCTAAAAATGTGGAGAAAAGTCCAGTGAGACACAGATTTGGAGTCACTGACATAAGTAGCATCTCAAAGTCAAGAATGGCAAGATTGCCAGGGAAACTACAGAAGAAAAGAGGGCTAAGGGCAGGCAGACTTGTCAGAACCACAAGTTGACTATCCCTTATCTGAAATGCCTGGGACCAGCACTCTTTCAGATTTTGAATTTTTTTCAGGTTTTAGAATATTTGTGGCTGGGTACGGTGGCTCATGCTTGTAATCCCAGAACTTTGGGAGGCCGAGGCAGGCAGATCACGAGGTCAGGAGTTTGAGACCAACCTGGCCAGCATGGTGAAACTGTCTCTACTAAAAACACAAAAAAATTACCTGAGCAGCTACCAGGGAGGCTCAGGCAAGAGAACTGCTTGAACCCAGCAGGCAGAAGTTGCAGTGGGTTGAGATTGCACCACTGCACTCCAGCCTGGCGACAGAGCAAGACTCCATCTCAAAAAAAAAAAAAAAAAAAAAGGAAAGAAAAGGAATATTTGAATATACATAATATCTTAGGGATGAGACCCAAGTCTAAACACAAAATTCATTTACGTTTCTCATACAGCTTATACACATACCATGAAGGTAATTTATATAATCATTTTAATAATTTTGTGCATGAAACAAAGTTTTGACTGCCACCTATTACATGAGATCGGAGGTGGAATTTTCCACTTGCGTCATGTCGGCAATCATCCAGATTTTACAGCATTTCAAATTTTCAGATTAGGGATGCTCAACCTATACCAACATTGAAAAGTAAGACAGAAGAGATGAAAGAACAGGGAGAGTGCCATTACAGAAATCAAGAGACTTCCACAGAATGAGCTAGGGGTGAATACCACTGAGAGTCCAGTAAGATGAGATGTAGGCGAGAGGATTTTCAGAGCAGGGGTAGGTCCAGGCAAGGACTGAGACTTCTTAATGACTAAATGACTAGGGATTAAGAAATCCAGGCAAGAAATGAAGATTTTTCAAGAAGATTAACTGTAAAGTGAGAAAAGAGATAAGGTGCTAACTAGAGGGAAGTTAAGATTGTTTTGGTTTTGGTTTTAAGAGCTGAAGGACTTGGACATATTTATAGGCTAAGGAGGGCTGGCACGGCTGATGCCTAGAATCCCAGCACTTTGGGAGGCTGAGGCAGGTAGACCATTTGAGCTCAGGAGTTGAAGACCACCCTGGGCAACATAGCAAAACCCCATCTCTACAAAAAAAAAAAAAGAAAGAAAGAAAAAAAGAAAAAAAATGAATAAAAAAAAAATTAGCTGGGTGTGGTGGCATGCACCTGTAGTTCCAGACTCTCAGGAGGATGAGGTGGGAAGATCGCTTGAGCCTGGGAGGTTGAAGCCGCAGTGAGCCATGATCATGCCACAGGGAGAACCTGTCTCATAAATAAATAAATAAATAAAGGCTAATGAGCAGAAGCAGGTGGATGTGGAAAGAATGAATAGGTTAAGGCCCCTGGTGAAATGGATAAGGAAAGGACCCCATGAAGGTGAGATGAAGATGCTACAGGATCAGCTTCAGACCAACCAGAAGAAAAAATGTGATTCCTTGAACCACATATATTTCATAGTGTGGACTTCATCTGCTGTGTTTCAATATGGTTAAAATTACACGGCATTTCTAGTAATTCATGTATGATAATGAGAAAAATACATATCAGGCTACAGCTATCTACAATCAGAATTGGGAACTTATCTGAATTGATCCTATAAAGAACTGCCCACGCTCTTCAAGAAATACTGAGTAAGGTACCAGCCTCGGTGCTTGCTTTTTTCCCCTTCTTGTAGATGGACCAAATATCCACTGGGCCCTCAGTCTTGTTAACTGCCACTCTAAACAGGGCATCCCAGAACGTAACGCTACCCGAGAACGCTGCACTGTCCCACCTGTAAGCATTGTACTTGTGGATAGCTTGGCTCACGTTCTTCTCAAAGTTTGCGAGTTCTGAAAAGGCAACAAGAGGCTCGGTGAACAAGAACCATGAATAACAAACAAGAACTGTTTTCTGGAAAGGGATGTGGCAGCCTCCAAGAGACAGTGACCACCTGTTTCCCACACGGGCCAGAACAAAAGCAGTCGATGCGATGGCCCAGGTGTCCCCGACAGGACTGACAACAATCCAGAGGCGCCGGAGAAAGATCCCCACCGACTACCCGCTGCAAGGGGTCGACGCCACCCACTGGACTGTCGGGGTGGGAGAGAAGGAAGGGAGTGGAAGGGGTTGAAAGGAAAGAAGAAAGCCAGCAGGGCCCGGCCCGGTGCTAACCTGTGAGCATGTCGGTGATTCCCGCGTTGAGAGTCTCCTGAGGCGCCTTCCGTTTACTCATGGCGGCCTGCACCCGAGAACCCCAGAGTGTTCAGAACCAGGGACTGGAGCCGTCTCCCAGCTTGACGGAGGTACCAGACTTGGAGAGGAGTGCAGGAACCCAGCTCCGGCGCGACCTGCGCTACCGGCACGACCTGCGGAACAATGGCTGCCCCTGACAGGGGGCGCGGCGCACGGCGCCTGTGGTGACGTCACGCGCCCTGGGTGGGGCGGGGCTAGGCGGGCGGGGCGGGGCTAGGGGGGGCGTGTCCGCGGCGGAAGGTGATAGGGACCCGGGAGACGGAGAGTTAGTGGACTCGTGCACTCGTGGACTCGTGGATGTGGACGCGGGGCGGGGGAAATAGGTGCCTCAGAATGACACCCCAGGGGCCTTCCTATGGGAAGACCCGGAGTTTTGACCTAAGAGATTACATCTGTTTTCCCAGTGTTTCTCTGGAATCCTTTCCCTAGAAGGGGAAAAAGGAGTGCGATCTTGATTCTGAAATACTTGCGCTGGTGGTGTGGCTTCCTGCACATACATGTGCTCTGTAACAGCGACCCAATGCATGGCGCGTTTTTTATGTGGTCAGAGGCGACAATGGCGTCACACTTACTGTCAAAACTTTCTCTAAGGATACCCGGCAGTCCACACTGCAGTGCGCCCCGTACTAGGGCGCTGTCGGAGCCGGGCGTGAACCCTGCAGAGAACAGGAAGCCTCCCGCACACAACGTGTGAGCACACCTGCAACCCGTGTCAGAAGATATTTTATTTTTAATCCCCCTGCCTTTGCGGTAGAGGCCAAATTGATGAAGGGACCACAAGAAAGAGAGAAGTGTTTTATTTAGATCATGAATAATGGAACCCGCATTATAACATGATGACCTACATCCGAGAAATTTACAATCTGCTTGAGAAATGGAAACGTGACATCAGCAATAGTTTATTTTACAACCGTAACTCCTGGGTTCATAACGAACTGCAATTCCAGGCAACTGCTTTGTGCATCAATAAAATTAAAATCTTATTACAAAATGATATGTAGTTGCTGTAGAGAAATCTGGAGAATGTATAAAAGGAGAAAATATTAAAATCGGTGATCTCATCATACGGCTGAATAATTATTAATATTTTCGGACATGCACCTCTAGTCTTCTAACCCAGTCTATTTTTTTTTTTTTTTTTTTTTGAGACGGAGTTTTGCTCTTGTTACCCAGGCTGGAGTGCAATGGAGCGATCTCGGCTCACCGCAACCTCCGCCTCCTGGTTTCAGGCAATTCTCCTGCTTCAGCCTCCTGAGTGGCTGGGATTACAGGCACGAGCCACCATGCCCAGCTAATTTTTTGTATTTTTAGTAGAGACGGGGTTTCACCTTGTTGACCAGGATGGTCTCGATCTCTTGACCTCCTGATCCACCCGCCTCGGCCTCCCAAAGTGCTGGGATTACAGGCGTGAGCCACCGCGCCCGGCCTCTAACCCAGTCTATTAAAGATTTCCATTATTTTCCAATATGTGTCATTAGTTTCTTTGATTAGCAAAGTTGTAGTGGTTGTGTTTTCTTACAGTATAGTGCATATCTTAAGTTATGCTTATTGGAAATTTGTAATTTATGTTTTTGAATTTCCTATTCATATCATTTACTCATTTTTCTAATGGGGGTAGTTTGTTATTAATCTAGTGGATATTTTATATACATTACTACTTGCCCTTTTTTGTATATCTTTTGTAAAAATTTTGTAAATATTTGTATTTTATTCTATTCCTTGCTTTTTAACTTTACGCCTGCAGCTTCTTAACACCTTTATTGTCACTTCCATTTACGTATATGACTTCTCCTAGTTTTTCCTGTTCAAATTTTTTCCTGTCCAATCTCCATAACAAGCTATATTCACATAATTTTGCTCTGAAGAACTATTTCTCCTTAAATAAAAATGTATTGACCTCTGAATTTTAAAAGTTACAAATGTGGGGAACTATGGGATCACTTTTACAATTTTTTTTTTTTTTTTTTTTTTTGAGATAGAGTTTTGCTCTTATCCCCCAGGCCGTGCAATGGCATTGTCTCGGCCCACTGCAGCCTGTGTTTCCTGGGTTTAAGTGATTCTCCTGTCTCAGCACCCCCACCCCGACCCAGTAGTTGGGATTGCAGGAGCCCACCACAACACCTGGCTAATTTTTGTATTTTTAGTAGAAAACATAGTTTAACCATGTTGGCCAGGCTGGTCTCAAACGTCTGACCTCAAGTGATCTGCCCACCTTGGCCTCCCGAAGTGCTAGGATTACAGGCGTGAGCCACCACACCCAGCCCATTTTTACAAATATTCTATTTTTAAAATTAGTACCAGAGAATCCAAGGAAAATAATCCATTACCTATCATTATCATCTTAGAAAAACCTACATTGGATCTACTTCATGACTTTCTTCTTGAAATAACTTGTTTCAATTGGCTTCTTAGATTCCACATGCTCTGGGTTCCCTTTCCTCATTGGCCATGCCTCAGTGGGGTGTGTGTGTGTGTGTGTGTGTGTGTGTGTGTGTGTTCGTGCATGCCCAAGCTGCTTCCCAGCTCCTCCTCCACTCTCCAGCTTTTATGGGAAATGGGTTCACACTTCAGTTTTCTAACCAGCTTTTCCACTTTGTCCAGTTTTACCTGTTTAAATGGCATGTCTAGCTTGAAGTCTCCTGAACTCAGAGTTCAATTCCTGACCTCTCACTTGATCTCCAGTCTCATATATCTGGCTGTCTGCTGGATAGCTCTAGCCAATAATAGGCATCTCAAAGATAAAATGTCCTAAAGAACTCCTAACTCTTGCCCCACAAGCTTCTCCTTCACTTTCCCGCATCTCGGTTAATAGCATTTTAATCCACCCTGCTATCAGGTCATTCTACTTTTTTTTTTTTGAGACAGAGTCTCGCTCTGTTGCCCAGGATGGAGTGCAATGGTGCGATCTCAGCTCACTATAATCTCTGCCTCCCGGATTCAAGTGATTCTCCTGCTTCAGCCTCCCGAGTATCTGGGATTACAGGCACACACCAACACACCCGGCTAATGTTTGTATTTGTAGCAGAGATGGGGTTTCACCATGTTGGCCAGGCTGGTCTAGAAATTCTGACCTCAGGTGATTCGCCTGCTTCAGCCTCCCAAAGTGCTGGGATTATACGTATGAGCTACCGTGCTCGGCAAGGAGACATTCTTAATTGCCCTTTTCACACCCCACATCCCATCAGCCAGCGGATCTTGACTATTCTGTCTCAGGAGTATGCGCTGAATTGGATGACCTCTCCCTCTCAGCTGCCACTGCCCTAGCTCAAGCTCCCAGGACCTCCTGAACTATTGCCCCAAGCCTCTTCAGCGGGTTTTCTGCTTCTGCTCTTGTCCTCTTAGAGAACATTCTCCAAAGAGGATGCATGATATTTTTAGGATGTAATATCAAATATGTCCCTATTTATTTATATACCCTTCCACTGCACTTAGGACAAAATCCAAGCTCCTGGCGGGGTGCAGTGGTTCACACCTGTAATCCCAGCACTTTGGGAGGCTGAGGCAGGTGGATCACCTGAGGTCAGGAGTTCCAGACCAGCTTGGCCAACGTGGTGAAACCCCATCTCTACTAAAAATACAAAAATTAGCCAGGCGTGGCGGTGGGCGCCTGTAATCCCAGCTACGCCAGAGGCTGAGGAAGGAGAATCGTTTGAACTCCGGAGGCGGAGGTTGCAGTGAGCCGAAATTGCACCACTGCACTCCAGCCTGGGAGACAAGAGCCAGACTGCATCTCAACAACAACAACAAAATAACCCAAGCTCCTTTTCATGGCCCACAAGGCCTAGTGTGATCCACCTCCTGCCTGCTCTCTATTGCATTTCTTGCCATGTTTCTCATTGCTTCGGACACACACACTGCCCTATTTCATACATACATGTGCCTGCTCAGTGTTGTCCCCTCATTGTATGGGTCTTTCCCTGGCTGCCTTCTTCTCATCATTCAGGTCCCAGCCTAGCAGTCACACCCTTGTCACATTCCTGAACCAGGCCCAGGCTTTTACCATGTTTTTATTTCTTTCACAGCACTAAGAACGGCTGGAAACTTTCCCACGTGGCTTGCACATTATGCACTCCCTGCTCATTCCTCCTCCCACCAATGTGGAATGCCAGCTCCATGGGAGAAGGGACTTAATTTTTGTTTCCACATAGTAAGTACTCAACAAATATAGTTAATATCTTACAGTTTTGCTGAAGTGTCAAACATGGCTGGGTAAAGTGGCTCACACCTGTAATCCAGCCCTCTGAGAGGCAGAGGCAGGAGGATTGAGCACAGGAGTTTGTTCAAGACCAGTCTGGGCAATATAGTGAGACCCCCATCTCTTTTACAAAAATAAGAGAAATGTACCAGGTGTGGTGGCAGGAAGAGATGAAGCGTGGGACTCTTGGATTCACTCAGCCATCTCGGTAAAAGGAATAGAGATGGGATTGTTCTGGAAAATCTGCGGAGGACCCTCTTGTCTAATGGCATTGAACTCCATGACATACACAGGAGATCCACAAGGTTTTTGAGAATGTTACATCAGCAGAAGCAGCTTAGCCTGGAAGGGACAGAGACAGTGTGAAATGAAAAAAGGCTGTTGAATTCCAAACTGCTACAGGCAGGAAATGGACTGATGGAGCTACGGGGCTGCAAACATGTGCTACCCTTCAACAAAAAGCAAGAATAACTCCAAGAGCAGAGCCAGGGGCTCAGAGGCAGAGGACAGAGGAGCTTACAGAGATGATGGATGCATAGACACAGGCCTATGAGGTACAGTGAGCATGAACTCAGGCCTATAGAGCCACCATGGGTACAGAGAGGCCCATGGTTCTGCTGTGAGCAGACACAAAAGTCTGCAGAACTGTTGAGGGGCCAGTGGGCAGCACTTCCAGCTAGGGGATTATTTTCAGACCTTGAATCCTAATGGACTCTTCTCTGCTGGATCCAAATTGGCTGGGAATGGTGACTTCTTTATCCCTTCCAGTTTTCCCTTTCAGAATGAGAACATCTATCATATGCTTATTACATAGTTTTACATAAATTTAGATGAATTCCAGTTATTTGCAAGCTGGTAACTTGTAGTTTCACAGGTCCAAAGCCAGAACAATTTAATCCTAAGATGAATCATGCCCGGGGTCTCACCCACATTTAATTTAGATGATGAGATGCTGGACTTCTGAGCTA